CCAAGGAATCATCTTTGAATAAATTTTTTTTGTGTACTTTTAAAATATAGCATAATTTATTCATTACTTATTTATTAACAGATGTTGCCTTTTGGTTACTTTCCAATTCATCCTAAAAACAACAAAACATCAACACCTAATAATATTACAGCTTGATGTTGTGTGGACATGTGTAACAAATAAATGTCAAAGTTTGACATTAATATGACGTTGATTTAAGATGTTGGCTCGATGTTGGATTTTAGTCACTTTTCAGCGCAACCTAAAATCAACCAAATATCAACGTCATTTCATGTCGTTATTGGACATCAAAATAACATTGTCCTTAGACACTGGCAACCTAAACAATAGTATCTGGATGCAGCCTTGATGATGCAAGCTTCATATATCGGTGATGATCTCACCTTATATTAATGTCTTATGATGTTGTGTGTCTGCTGGTTAGAACCTAGTAGGTCCTATTATTGTTCTTTAGAACTTATCTCAACAGTGACTGAAATATCAACTATTCTTTTGACTAGTACACTTTTATAACTCCTATTTTTATTATTGGCACATTCAGGCACTAGTACTTACATTTTAGATACGTCTACCAATTATTTGATACACTCTAAACATGCTGGGTTCCTAGCTAACGTTGGATTAAATATGGACAAACCCAAATGTAGGGTTAAAAAGCGTGATTTAAATTTAAATTAAAAAGTCCAATCCAATGTTGATTTGTCCAAGTTTGATACAACATTGGGTTATAACAACCAGGCATATTTTTACTCATTTATTAGGGACTATTTATTAATGACATACTAGTTCTTATCTGTTAGATCATAGGTCTCAAACTGGCCTGGAGGGCTGCAGCTCTGCAGTTTTGCTCCAGTCCTAATCACACACAGCTGATCTTTAATCAAGGTGCTCGAGACTATTAAGCACACACACACAAAAATGATACATTGGATTTACTAAATGTTTTCAAGGTAAGTGGTTGCAAACAATTTATATGGTCTGCATTTAAACACACATTAAGTTTAGTAAAGTTCACTTGATTTATTTTAGTTAAAAATTAGCTCAAATAAATAGTTTGCAACCACTTACATTTAAATATAATCCAATTTCAGTGCAATTGTGAGTTGGAGGTGATTGGAGCTAAACTCTGCATGGCTGTGGTCGTTGTGGAAATTGAGTTCGAGACTATTATATAAGTTACTGATAAGCTGTTAGTACAGCCAGACAGAATCTGCAGACATGTTTTGCTATTTCTGCACAAAATATTGTAAAAAAATCTGCGTATTTATTCGGAATGATTGTGGGTGTATTAATAAACCTAATATGTTCAATAAAAAAAGAATACATTTTTAACATGTATTTAATGTTTACAATGCAAATCTTTTTGGATCCATTTATTTGATAAACAAAGCAAGTCTCTCATATAAAACATCTAACATATATCTACAAATAGACAGGAATTATTGCTATTACTTCAACTGTATTGTAAGTAAATTTTATGAACATTTTCATATTAGTCAGTCATATTACTGAAATTAATTTGGACACACTTTTGTTTTGATGGTCCGTTTATGGAATTTAAGTTACATTGCAACTAATTCTCGTTACATTATAAGTAGACGGTTAGGTTAGGGTTAGTGTAAGTTAACATGTACTTGTGAAATTCTAGTCAGTTAAATGTCTGTTTAGCAGCAGTATCAACAGATATTAAGCAGAGAGTCTACTAATACTCAAATGGACTATCAAAATAAAGTGCTACCATTAATTAAAAAACTGAATAAATATTAATTTACACACATTACCAAACGACTAAAAAAATAGACTCAATGATGGGCTTAAAATCTGAAATCTGTTGATTTCTGAGCGTGTAGATTCCGTGTGGGCCTATTACTTATCTAATAGATATACATACAGTATTAGTATAGATACATTACACTTATTAGTACTTATTTGAAAGGCTTGCCGCCAGTACAGAAAATAATTCTTACAAGCAACAATTCCAAAAGATATAACAAATAAGTACTAGTACCTAATACATAATAATAAGTTCTAGTGTCTAATGTATTAGTGGTATAAATTCAATGGGAACAGGTGGCTAATGAAAAAGTACAAGTATCCATGTAACTGGTATTAAACAAAAAGTATAAGCATTTATTAATAATACCAGTATATACTGAATAAATACTAATGTCTTATAATAAAAACTATGATGTAACAAATAAATATGTAGACTGTCTAATGAATAAATTATATATAATGAATAAAAAACGAATTATTATCTAATTAATACTATAAAGCAAATAGTAGCATATGAATAATAATATACTTAATGAGGTCACAGTTTACAATAAGGTCCATTAGTTAATGCATTTACTAACATGATGAACAATACAGCATTTATTAAGCATAGTTCAACATTTACTAATGCATTATTAACATCCAATTTTTGCTTGTTAACATTAGTTAACATTAGACTGTATTTTCATTAACTAATATAAACAAATACTGTAATAAGTGTATTGTTCATAGCATGTTCATGTTAGCAAATGCATTAACTAACATTAACTAATGCAACCTTATTGTAAAGTGTTACCCTTAATAATATATAGTATCTAAAAACTAACTACTAGGTTATATCAAATGTAAAATAGGCTTGCCATAGTTAACATTTTTAGGTACTGCTCATATTATTGTATGTAAATGAGCTCCGAGATTTGTCCGAGTATGTTTTGCATGTTTCCCGCTTGTAATTATTTCAGACAAATGTTTATAATATGACCTTTGTAAAATGGAAATAAGTTGAGGCGTGAATGCAGATATTGAATTTGGTAATTAATGCGGAGCTCTTGGTGGAAGTCGCTGGAGGGACTGGAACTAATTCAATTACAGTCTGAACTGGAGCACCATTATAATTATTTCTTTCTCAAACACTCTGTAGCATAAAATAAAGGAATTATTTTTTTCTCTCCCGCTGCTGTTAGCCACTTCTGAACAAAAAGTGTGGCTCAATCCATTACTCACTGTTACATAAACACACTGAGCTCTGCGTGCACATAAACCAAGCAGGTGAATTTCATAAAATATCATAAAAAAATCTCAACTTATAAGCAGATTTTGAAGTCAAGATGCAAATGGAGGAAATAAAATGTAGATGTAGCTTTAATTGATTAATTTTAATAAGCATTAAGCTATAATTGTGCATATATTATTGCACATAAATCAGGTAAATTACACAAATTACTAATTTCAGTTTAAAATTAAGGCAAGAAACGGGACAAATAAAATAGACTTTAGTGTCTATTGCTGTACACACAAACATACTAAGCCCCCATATGTGCATAGTAAATTACAATAAAGTAATTTACATAAAATCCTAATTTGCTGGCATCTAATTTTTAGAATTTTGTATTTTTTGTGTTTTATGTTCTCAAAATATCGATTAATGAAGCAAAGGTAATAAAAGTTTTGATTGCTTTACATTAATATAAACAACGTTTGAATTTAACTTTTCAATTTAAATCTTTCAAATCGAATACTAATACTAAGACATGTTTTTTCTGTTATTTAAACTTTTATTTTAAGTTTAACTTAATATTTTTAGTCAGACTGACTAATGTAAGTTGAGATGAAAATTCATTTGATGCAACTTAACAGGCAGTAAGATTTGTTTTATTTTAATTTTTTTTTTACAATAAATTAGATTTAATAAGTTATTAAAATCCTGTAAAAAAATCCTGGTTGCCTTAAATTTTTAAGCTGAATCAAATTAACGTTATGCGTCTATTGAACTTATATTAGGCCCTATAATAAACCCAGCGCAAGGCGTGATGTAATTGTTGTTTGCTAGTTTCAGCTCAGCGCAAGACTCATTTTGGCATTTTGAACCACGCTGTTTAACTGATTCTTAAAGGGAATGGGAGATGATTGGACTCTGATTGGTTTACTCTCAAAACACACCTGGCCTATAACTCATTAAGAGAATAAGCTCAACCCTGTTAGACCATGCGCGACGGCGCAAACCAGATTTTTCTGTCCTTTAAATAGCAAAAGTGGATTTGGACATGCCCTAATGCTTTTTCACCCTGCGCTTTAGACTTTGCGCCTGGATCGTCAAAATAGAGCCCATTATATTAAACTGACTTAAAACAGGTTCCATGACATATATAATTAAGTTAGAACATGATTAACTTAGTTTAATAAGTTACAATGAACTAAAAACATGCTGTCATGACTAATTGATCATAGAATTTGTTACAGTGTATGAATATAAATATATCAAGCTGTAGAAAAAGCCAGATCCAGTTGGTAATTTCTATAAGATTGGTTTACTTAATATTTGGGGATAAACGTATGTAATTTTGCACATCGAACGAAAAGTTCAATCACATTTATTTAGCTTTTTTTGGTGAAAGACAAAAATGGAACATAAAATATTTTATATTTTATATAACAATTTCTTTAAAGCACACTCATAAATGAATCACAATGAAGTGTATTTTCAACTGTTTATAACCTTTTGATTTTATTTATTTAATTTTACTTAATAATATATTTAATTGTTATTTTTAAATGTTGTCAAATTCCTTACAATCAATCTAAACCTGTTAAAATACTATTAAATTTAATCAGTTAAAAAATATGAATATGGTATAAATGTATCTAGCTGTAGAAAAAGCAGAATCCAATTAGTTGAATTCTATGAGATTGGTTTACTTAATATTTGGGGGCAAAAATGCCTCTGGATAGTCCTAACAAATATCAATAACTAGTTTATAAGTTTAGTTATGTTAAAGGTCTGTCATTTAAATGGATTAAAATAAAAATATTTGCAATCAGAATATATAAATCATGTGTGTTAGTTGCCTAAGTAGTGCAGAGTGTAGAATGAAAAGTTCAGAAATCAGAGATCCGAAAAGTGTTGTGTGTGTGTGTGTGTGCGTGAGGATACATATTAAGCCAATAAAATATACATTTTGAAAAAGAAAATGAGGCAACCAAAGTAAAACTTGCAGATTTTTATTTCTACTCGAACGATTTGATACAGAATCTACAATGCAACACTTCAGGATTTTATCCCAAGATTATAATTAAATCTACTTAACAGTACTTCTGCTTAGAAAAAATCTCTGTTTAGTTATTGACAATGGGCATTGTTTAATAATAAGCAAAGATCTTTTTGTACAGTTTGTTTACAGTTATATATACATTAAAAACCGCCAGTGGATGCTTGCACGAGGCAGTCCTGTACATTTCATGTTCACCAGATCGCTGCATTGGCTGAAAGTTGGAACCGCCCATCACTTTCGGTTTTATACAAATGAAATCAGATCATTTACATACACTTAAAAGCGTGAGAGATTTCCCAAAGTAAAGATGTTTGATGAATGTTTCTGGATGTATTACTTTGAAAAAAAGTACAATAGCATTATGTGTGGTCCTTGACGGTTCAGAAATGCGATAAAGGTGCTAGTTTGAAAGTTACAAAAAGAACTGGCATAGAAAAAAAAGCGTTCTTCAAAATACAACGAAACAACCCGAGGTTCACAGTTTCTAGTATGTACAAAATTGTATATGGTTGTTTGAGATATAGGCAAACTGAAGGACGAAACTGAGGTAAATGAGGGCAGCCATGCGGCACGAAGGCAAGTCTTGAAGCAAGAAAGCGGCTGGAACTTGAGTTAAATATTGGTCACACTTAATAATAAACTGCTCCTGCATGTACGAAGCAGAATCAAAAATTAAATGCAGTTGATTTTCTTATATACAGTTGAAGTCAGAATTATAAGCCCCCCATTTTTTCTTGTTTAAATATTTCCCAAATGATGTTTAACAGAGCAAAGAAAATTTTCACAGTATGTCTGATAATATTTTTTCTTCTGCAGAAAGTCTTATTTGTTTTATTTTGGCTAAAATAAAAGCAGTTTTTAATTTTAAAAAGCCATCAAAATTATAAGTCTCTTTAAGCTATATTTTTTCGATAGTTTACAGAACAAACTATTATGTTCGGAAATGTGTTAAAATCTTCTCTTCACAGGGGGGCTAATAATTCAGAGGGGCTAATAATTATGATATCAGCTGTATACATGTCAATTTTAATAAATGAAATGTTCACATATGGTGTTGTCTATACTAGATCTGCTCTAAAATTTTGTCTCCCAGGATACACAATGTCACATTGATTTGATTAAAACAACAGAAATGATAGAAATGCAATAAAAATAGTAATATTGTGAAATATCATTACGATTTAAACAAGATTACGGTTTCTACTCCAGTTTTCAGTGTCACATAATCATTCATTAATCATTATAATATGCTGATTTGATGCTTAAGAAACATTTCTAATCATCTCTGCAATATAGTTTATAGAATTTTCCTGCGAAACGCAAGAAAACTACTGGCCAAAGCCATTGAATAAGAGTAACAGATAACAAAAATAAATCTATATAAAAAAGTGTCATATACCGCAATCATATAATTTGACCCAACATATTATATTTCTAAGAAATTTGAGATTACTCCAAATAAGTTCAGTTTTGACCTCGGTTTTAAACCATTTTAATCAACAGAATGTTTTTTTCTGCATGAAGGGAACGACATATTCACCATGGCGTTTCACTTTTAGTAACATGTGAAACAGAGCCCATGTAAATAAAATAAATAGTAAAATCGAATCAAAAGTGTTACTGAAATCTCCACTATTTGCAGTGAAATCTAGTCTTCATTTCCGAAGCAGAAAAAGCGGCCCATTGCAGGATAAAATGAGGACTGGTTTTGTTCTCAAAGCAGTCAGTTTGTGCAAATAAAAGGCCTGTTGTTTAGTTTAGCTATTCAGACGGGGAGGAGGAATACAAAAGCTTTAGCGTGTCCAGCAGTCGACACCGTCATTAAGGCCTCCAGGAAAAAATCACCTAGAAAAAGCACGAGCGTTCTCATTAACAGCGCCATTTTAAATAAGTACAAAAACCACTGTACATTTTTTTTGTCTCCACAGAAAATACACTGTGCGTAATGTACAAGCAAAAGTAAATATCAGCACTTTGGTGTGGGCTTCAGATTAGCTACCGGCTCAATGTAGCCACGGCTACTGTGCGTCTACTTTCTCCAAGCACCACGCTGAGAAAAAAAAAAAACATTGAGAAACAGTGGTTCACAGTGACGGGGCGACAGAGGAATCGTCTGCCGGGACGAACAACGAAGCTTCTATTGGTCCCCGAATTACACATCTGTGCTACGAACAACCCTCGCTTGAACAAAAACAGGCCCCAAGTTCACCAGTATCAGCGACTATCCATACAGTAAACCCAAGATTATCTTACAGTACACCGATTTCTCCCATTGAAAGTTGTGTAAACGAGCAGGAATGACCTTTAGGGTGATGGTTAGCTGCTGAAAATGGGACGCAGCGGCCCTCCTTTATGTTTCTGTCTGTGTAGGATCACTATCTGGGGAGCTTTTCTTTATTTTTAGAGCTCAATCTTCACATACATTGGAGTAAAAGCCAACCGCATGCTAGTTGTTTGCTTCATCAATTGACAATGACGTTGGCATTGTGTCTTGATGACAAGGAGGGCATAGGTGCTTGTTTTGCTATTGCTAAACCCACTTTGAGTTTAGAGATGATTTGGGGCTTATCTAAAATGATGTGTTCAGATGTGGTCTCCGGCTAGTTTGGGTGTCCACCAGGGGGAGCCCTTCTCTAGAGTAGCGCAAATGTTGACTTGAGGGATTATTCGGGAAGGTGCAGTGACATCACCTCGGGCTTCATTTTGAAGTACTGGTTGAAGCGGAGGACTGCGTATCTGTGAATGGAAATGCTCAGGTGAGAATGGAGTTGTTTTGGATGTTGGTTGTGTTTTAGAAATGGGAAAGCTTACCCCAAGAAGTCAAAGTCAATGGTGGAGTACTGAGCCTGGATTAATGCCCACAGTCCCCAGAAGAAATGTGACGCCTGGGGAGAAGAAAAAAAGGGATAGTGTTTTTTTTTTTTTTGTAGATTTTGCATAGAGGATCATAAACAGATCATATAACAGATATCACTCTATATATATATATATATATATATATATATATATATATATATATTTTTTTTTTTTTTTTTTTTTTTTCATAATAAAGAAAAATATTTTTCTTTTACCAGAATTAGTTACAAAAATGAAATTTATTTTTGTTTACATTTGTTTGATAGTTATAGTATTTTTTAAGACTTATAACTTATTATATTTATCTGTATCTTTAAATTTTATAAGTGTAATTTCTCTTTAATGAAAACTATTTTAATAAAACTAGACTTTTTTGTTATTATAATAATTATAATCAATAGGTAACAATAAATACTACCAAGCAAGCTCTTTTTGTTTTCAAAAGATGTCAAATAGATGTCTAAACATAGTCGTCTTGGCTAAAACAAGACTACATTTGGGCTGTCAGTGAAAATCGAATAGACATTTAAGAATAGGCCGAAACTAGACTAGTCATCAAAATAACATAAATCAATAAGTACACATATAAAGTCTGTCTATCTATCTAATCTAATCTAGTCTGTCTAATCTATCTATTTGACCACTAGTCTAGTTTTGGACTATTGTTAGATGTCTATTAGATTTTCACTGACAGCCCAAGTTTAGCCTTGTTTACCCACGCTGTCTACACTTAGATGTCCATTAGACATCTATTAAACACAAAATTGTTAGCTGGGTATTTTATAAAACTAGACTTCATTGTTATTTTATTATTAATAATCAATAGGTAACGATGAATGCTACTTTAATAATATGACTTTAATAAAACTTAATAAAGTCTAGACTTTATTGATATTATATTAATTATAATCAATAGGTAATAAATACTACCTAAATAAATAAATACTACTTTAATAAATACTGCTTTAGTAAAACTAGACTTTATTGTTATTATATTAGTTATAATCAATAAGTAACGATAAATACTACTTTAATAAAAATAGACTGTTGTTATTATATTATTAATAATCAATAGGTAACAATAAATACTACTTTAATAAATAAATACTACTTTAATAAACTAGATTTTATTGTTATTATATTAATAATAACCAATAGGCAACAATAAATACTACTCAAATAAATAAATGCTATTTTAATAAAACTAGACTATTGTTTTTATATTAATTATTATATTTGTTTTATATTAATACTATATAATTATTTAAGTAATTAGAATTACTAGATTATTATTTGGTTATTAGAATCAGCATTAACTTAAATTAGGTAATCATTTAAAAATAAACATTCATGAAAATTAATGTAATACACTTATATTTTTGTTATTTTTATTTGCAAGACATATCTAAGAAAAAAGGAGAAATGGTTAAAATACTAATGTTTAATGCACAAATCCTGATGTTTCTAAAGAAAAAACAACAGAATTCATTTAAAAAACACCCGAGTTTTATTTTAATGTATTTTGTCAAAACAGGACTAAGAAATATTCCTGACAAGCTTTGAAAGACTCACCCCTACACTGGATTGAAGCGTGACAGATTGTATGTTGTATTGTTGCTTAGAAACATTTGACCTACGCCTTTCTAAGCAAAGAATGCTTCCTTTTAGTGGAGCCATTAAAAAAAGGAAAAGAAAAAAAAGATAACCGCATGTAAGTTGTTTGTGTTGATTCTGGATCACTGACAGCGAAGTAAAAGCTTATAAAATGTGGCATATAGATATAAAAGCCCCTGTGATGAGACTGAATCATGTGAGTAAAGATCACGGGTCTGCCTGGCCTATAATAAAGTCTCTATCCTCAGTGTTTTTCGCTCAACTGCACAGAATAAATGTTTGTCTCTGTCCGAGTCAAGGGTCCTGAACTCCTCAGACACAAATCTCAGAGCACATTCAGAGCATCTTTTATAACGCTCCATGTCTCGGGCGTCTGAATATGTGAAAGCAAAAGCGTGACAAATTAAAGCAGAGCTGCAGTGGGCGACACACACCTACATTCGTGTAATACCACCAAAGGCCTTGGAATATGTAAGACATATTATGTGACTGTATTGTTTAATTCACTTTAATTATTGTTTTAGCCAGTTGCATTTAATGTATTTAGGTGAAATTCCCTACTGTTCAAAATTCAGTCTTGATATTCAACTAATTATTTTTAAAAATCAATTTACAACATGGCTTAAATTATTGGTTCAAAAATACTGCAAAAACTGTGATAATTAAGAAACATTTAAATAACTGCTGCTTTATGTTTAAATATACTTTATTTCTTTGATTAAAAAGCTGAATTATCCCTCACAAGTACAGTAATTCGAAATACTGACTGTGTTCATTTCTAACCATTAATTCCTCATAAATGCACTCTAAAAAACATTATTTATTTAACGCAATGGTTGAGTTAAAATTTGTGGGTGCTTTGTTGTGTTATTTTTAACCTTTATTTGGTTATTTGTTAATAACATGTTTTATTTGAAAGTATTATTTTTTATTTGTACTTTCTTTTTTAACTGAAAGTACCTTTGCTGTGTGCAATTATTAATTTAGTCTTTAAAATAAAGAATGGCTTATGATTATGGATGCTAAAATATAGCTGTGTTGTTCAATACTTTTGTAGAAACTGTTTTAGGGTTCTATAAATAGAAAGTTAATCTAAAGTACATTTATTTGAAAACATCTAAATGACAGTACATTTTTAAATAGCAAAATATATAAATCGGACGAGTTATTGTAAAAACAATGTTTTGAGACTGTATTGTTTCATTCGAGTTGATTCTTATTTTAGCCAGTTGTATTAAAGTGAAAGACACTCATTTTTCAAAGTCTGGGATTAAAATCAAACTAATTACTGAAAAAAATGTAGTAATTTACAAAAAGGTTTAATTTATAAAAAATACGAAAATACTGCAAAAACTTTTTCTATTTGAATATATATTTTTTCTTTGATTTAAAATCTGAATTATCCTTCACAAGTTATTTGAAATACTGATTTAGTGTTCAAGAAACATTTCTAACTATTAATCACTCATAAATGTTCTATTTTAAAGTAGTTTTTTCTTTATTTGTACTTTTTTCAATTGAATGTACTTTTGCTGTGTCACTTTGTGCAGTTATTATTTTATTCTTTAAAATAAAGAATTGCTTATGGATGCTAAAATATAGCCGTGCTGTTTAAACTGTTTTAGGGTTCTATAAATAGAAAGGTTATCTATAGTTATTTGAAAACATTTAAATGACAGTAAATTTTTAAACAGCAGTATATAAATCAGATAAGTTACTGTATGAACAATGTTAAGTGACTGTATTATTTCATTAGAGTTAATTATTTTTTTATCCAGTTGTATTTAGGTGAAGTACACTACTTTTCCAAAGTCTGGGTTTAAAATCAAACTAATTATTGAACAAAATCACAGTAATTGACAACAGGGCATAATTTATAGGTTTAAAAGCATGAATAAACATTTAAATAACTTAAAACTTCTGTTTTCTGTTTAAATATAATGTAGTTCTTTGATTAAAAAGCTGAATTTTCAGCTGCAGTTATCTCTCACAAGTTATAAGAAATACTAATTTAATATTCAAGAAACATTTCTAACTATGATCACTCATAAATGTTTTATTTGAAAGTTTTTTTTTCTTAATTTGTACTTTTTTCAATTATATGTACCTTTGCTGTATGCAATTATTATTTTATTCTTTAAAATAAAGAATTGCTTATGATTATGGATGCTAAAATATAGCTGTGCAGTTTCATATTTTTGTGGAAACTATAAATAGATAGTTCATCTGAAATATAGTTATTTAAAAACATCTAAATGACAGTAAATTTTAAACGGCAATATAAAAAGCACTTTATTTTCTAAAATTTAATCTAGCAAATACCAAAATTCAACATTAAAATTAGACTTCAATGTTTGAAGTGTCTATAATAGTTATAATAGTAATAATTATCGTTACAAAAATTAATTTATTTAATCAATCACTGTTAATGAATGAAAAGTAGAAACTTTCCATCATTTAGCTTTTTATAGAAAATGTGCATTGTTAATCTCCACGCTTTCTGGAAGGCCTCAGAAACGAAAGCAACAAAACGCACAAATGCGTCCGTCACATTCCTCTGGCCTCTGTTTTAAAGTCTCTCAAGGTCTCTCTCAGGGACAGGTGTGAAAACAGAGCCTCCTTCTATTTAGTTTACCATTTCTGAGAGCCATATGATGATAGTTTCTTTTTTTCCCCCCCATTTCTTGCTGCGACAGAAGGGAAATGATAAAAGCAATATATCTACCCTACTTTTAACACATCTATCCATCTCAAAAGATTCAATAAAAAACACAAACCACTCTTTCCTCTAATATCATCATAAAAAGAGTCAGTGGTCAAAAACCACAAAATAAAAAAACCCAGAGACCTTTACATTAAAGCAGGCGAGAGGTCAAGGCTACTTTCTGACGTCGTACAATCACTATTCATACCTTCGTCTCCACCTCAATCATACGATCCACCTGCTAAATACTTAAACCGCTCACGGTGTTCCAGTTTAAAGAACGTAATTACATTGAAAAAACAAAAGTCTGATGTTTAGTTTGGCAGAGTGCAGATGGATGGAAATGCGTCACGGTTCCAGATCGATCCAGTTTGGACTCACCAAGGCGAAACGGTTGACTTGTACGTACAACAGCTCCACTTCAGTGTTGGAGACCTGCGAGCCTTGTGATTTGTACTCTTTGTAGGCCTCCAAATAGGCCCGGAGCCACTGCATCTGTAGCTCCCGGTCAGGATATAGGGTGTAATCCACTTCATTCAGACCTGTCAATCAAAACAAAGACACACCCATGTGAAATCCCAGTTAAGCTGTCTCTTTCATTCTGTGCAATTATCTTCATTTTAGGTCTATATTGCATTACCTGCAAATTCATTGAAGTGATTCCCAATGTCAAAAGCTTGGTAATTGTACCCAGCATATTCGTAGTCAATGAATTTCACATTTCCTGCAGGAGGGGAAACAAATAGGTGTTTGTTTAGAAGAGCGAACGGGCACGGTTTTCTTATCCCTTGTTTCTGTAATAATCTATTGCCTGTATTAGCAAACCAACGCTATATATGGGCATTATTATCTGACAATTTAAATGACTGATCAAATGACATCTGGGAAAAGGAGTAAGGATTTGCATTCTGGTGCAAGACGAGAAAGAATACACAAATGAGAGAAGTAAGACATGGGGAGAGAGTTCATGCACGTATAGCATGCATTTTGGGAGGAAAAAAATAGCATGTTATATTTGGGCGATTCTTCAATTAGGGAAACTTTTTCAGTTGGTTTCATTTCATTAAAAATATTTTCTTCACTTCCTGTAATCTCCTAATTGTGGCTATCGAAGGTTAGTATCAGGTGTTTTTCTTTTAGAAGGGGTTTATGCACCAAATTATTTTGAGGCTTCTTTAGAACAAGAATCATTTGATTCTCACAAAATTCTCGGTTTTACCCATTTGTTAGCAAGAGGTTTTTAATCCTTTAAACTAGAGATGCCCAAAGTAGGACCCGCGGGCCAAAGTTGGCCCATTGTCACCTATGATTTGGCCCACCATCCTATCTGAGAGGAGAGTGAGATGGAGAGAGTTGGGGCGAATGCTTTTAACACAAAGATCGTTATTTCTAATTTTAACCTTTTTTGCTTGTTTTATTGCTGAGCTACAAAAAAGCAAACTGAAATAAAAGGTTTCAATTAAATTTAGTAAATGAATCTTTTTTTTAAAATGTAAATACTTTTATTAGACGGACAGGACTGTGCAGAGCACATCAGCAAGCAAATCAAGGCAAAAACTAGTGTAATTCTGTTATAAATGAGATTGTTTTGTTTTTACTAGAATAAGTTCGTTATATTATTGTATTAGTTCATATAAAGCAGTGTTTTTTAGTCATTTTTAAACATTATTAAATAAATCAGGATATTAACCATGGCGAATATATTTACGTTCAACCCACTAGCCTCAATCAAGTTCAGTTTTTGGCCCTTCATGAGAAAAAGTTTTTTAGGCTATAATAAAATGTAGTATGATTACATATTCTGTCATATATTTTAAAATTACATATTAAGTGTCATTTTATTTTTACACAAACACATATCCTTATGCTAAAAGTCAATTAAACATATTGACTTTTTCACAAGTTTTTAAAAACATCAAAGCAGACTTACATTTAATAAGCTTTCTGTGCATATAAAATCAGTTTTTAAATTCAGTTCGATTCAAGTTTATTTGTATAGCATATTTTTATAATAATTATTGTTTTAAAACAGCTTTACAAACGGTGCACATCATTGCATTACGATCAAATTAAGTAAAAGTTACAATCAAATAAAAGTTATTATATGTAAACATAGCTAACCTGCAGTTTTATAAAAGGGATATAGGGGATGTCTACAGTATGTGTACATGTTTACTGAAGTGTATTTGTAGTACATTTGTTTAATGTATTTCATATGCACTTGTGTATTTGTTTAATGAAGTGTTTTAGTTAAATTTTTATTAATTTGATGCAGAGGCCAAAATGGGACGCGTCATTCTCAAACACCGATAATGCTATTCTCAGGTACAACAGTTTTAAAGGTGCTGTATGTAAGTTTTTGACTCTTCTAAATCATAAAAATAACATAATATGTTATTATATTTAAGAACCATGCAAAGTGAACAAACTGTTTATCTAAAAAACAATGCTAAAGTCAAATATTCTGCTTTTGATAGTTCCGTGCTGGAATGTCTGTCTTTGTTTTGGTTCTTTTAACCCACCCAATGCCAGTTTAGCCAATTATATTTCAGCACCCTGGGTTAAAAATATAAGTTTCAGGTTTTGGTTAGAACAAAAACTCTTTTTAATATGCAAAATATTCCTTCTAGCATGTGCCGTTGCTTTTATTTAGACTGTTTAAATCAGCCTTTAGGCCTTACAGTCAGGCACACTGCTGTTGGCGTCGTCAATCTAGCAACCTGCGCTTGCATTTGATTTAAACAAGTTGCGCAATACCTAGTTCAACTGCTGGGTGTCAAACTTACATACTGCACCTTTAATATTAATAATAATAATATGATTATTAGAATCATTACGATTAAAAAGACTTAAATTACAGGACAAAAATTAAAATAGCTTTTTTTCTTTCAAAACTGAATCTGGAAAATGCCAAAATTCAACATTATAAATGTGAAAGAATCAAAAACAGACTATAATTTAATAATAATTATCATTGATTTAAAAAAAAAAAAAAGTAAATTAAATTGATGAATCGCCCATTTACATGAGTCTTCTGAGAGGAAAAGTAGAAAACTTGCCATCTGTTTTTTTTTTTAAAGGAAAATGTTAATGTCAGTGATTTCTATAACATTTAGAACACTATAACACATATGATTCCTACTTGACTACAAATTAAGCGAGCGAGCAAGTTTCCAACATTTTCCAGGAAATCTTGTGACCGGTGAAAGAAAGAGACCCTTACGCACGCAAACAAACAAGTCCTTTGCTCTACAGGAGAAAAAAAAACACAACAGTAAAAGTAAAATGAGAGTTAAATGAAAATGAGAACAAACAATTCAGGTTAGACTTGAGTTGATAGATTTTAGAGAATGCAAAATAAAGAGGAGACGGTCGAACTGTAAAAACCACAGGGCTGAAAAGACAGAGAGGGGGGGCACAGGAGAGAAAATGGGCAACATTGGCACCTAGTGGCACAAAGCCTGTACAGCAGTTGACTAGCAAGCAATAAATGACTCAGTCAGTCAGGTGATGTGCATAGTGTTGACTTCAGAACACAAAGCCTTACTCCTCTCGCTCTACATAGATATGTGTAATGCATTATCCATTAAATCACTGCCTGGTCTGTTTACAAGTAACATTAGTGCACCTAATGTGTCTTTATGTTGCCTTGCATTCCCAGTGCTTTAAAGTTTATGATGTGTAATGTAAAAAAAAAACAAAAAAAGGTTTGATTGACATTGGACAGAAGTGTTGGTCTACAGAAAAAGACACGTGAGGTGGTTACCGGACCCGGTGGCGTCCTAGCGGGACACACTGAACACCTCCAGTCAGTGGCTATAGCCCTGTGCAGCAGATGAAGAGATTTGGGCAAACTCACATCTGTCACAGAACACACACAGCTTCACTGCAGAGAGGCCACTGGGCACCTCCCCCTTTAAGAACAAACACGGCTCATCTCATAACCACACCCCCACCACACAGCTTCCCCATTGGTCCATTAGCAGCCAACGAGGCCCCGACTTTACTGGCTCTATGCAAATGCCACGGCGGCTTCCTGTGCGGGTCAAGCCAAACTTATTTGACTCCCAGAATGTCGACGAAAGGCAAGAAAAACAAGAATGTTGTCGGAAAGCTGAAGTATTGCGTAACGCTCATATAGGGAAGCGGAGGGGGCTGAGTGTGCAGGGATGTCAAAAACGTAAACATTTGTACTGTAAAAGCTTCCTCCCACCCCTCGCCTAATGTGTTGGAGGAAGTGGCTTTTTTTTAGTCTGAAAACAGAGCCTCCTTCCTCTCTCAAGTTCAAATACAAACAATGTGGCCCAAGGTTGAAGTTGCCTCCAAAATCTGTACTTTGAAGCAGACTCCCATGATTGAATTGCTAATGGTGTGTTGTCGAATTGCTCTGTGTAACAGCTTTTAAAGGCAACTGATACCTTTAGGGCGACTATTACTGTACTTTCTGATGATAATCAGTTCGAGTGCTGCTGCCGCCTCAAAAGGAAAAACAAAAAAGACAAAAGTGAGAGACAGGAACTACACATTCTCACACTGTGGCTGTGGCAGGGCAGCCATCTTCTCTTGCTCAAACTATATCAAGTGGGTCATTCCTGTTATGCTGGTGACTTTCAAACATGGAATATAATTTTTATAGCGGAGCCCACTTTTTTTTAACATTAAATTAATTGTAATTCATTTATTTAGTATAGTTAATATGGAGCCAGATCAGTCTCAAAAAATAATCCATTTACAAAATACAATTCAGCACAATTCACATTTACAAAATCCAATTTGTCAATTTTTATACACACAATTTGAAAATTCACATTTTATTATTATTATTGATATTTTCACCAAATTAATTGAATTAGCATATTTTTAAATCGTATTTTAAATTCACTAATTGGATTTGTGTATTATTGAATCGTGTTTTGAAGTTACGAATTTAGATTTTTGTATTTTTGAATCGTGTTTTGAAGTTACGAAATGGATTTGTGTATTTTTGAATCGTGTTTTGAAGTTATGAAATGGATTTGTGTATTATTGAATCGTGTTTTGAAGTTACGAATTTAGATTTGTGTATTTTTGAATCCTGTTTTAAAGTTACGAAATGGCTTTGTGTATTTTTGAATCGTGTTTTGAAGTTATGAGTTTGAATTTGTGTAGTTTTGAATCATGTTTTAAAGTTACGAATTGGATTTGTGTATTTTTGAATCGTGTTTTGAAGTTACAAATTGGATTTGTGTAATTTTAAATCGTGTTTTAAAGTTACGAATTGGATTTGTGTATTTTTGAATCGTGTTTTAAAGTTACGAATTGGATTTGTGTAATTTTAAATCGTGTTTTGAAGTTACGAATTGGATTTGTGTAATTTTAAATCGTGTTTTGAAGTTACGAATTGGATTTGTGTAATTTTAAATCGTGTTTTAAAGTTACAAATTCGATTTGTGTATTTTTGAATTGTGTTTTGAAATTATGAATTGGATTTGTGTAATTTTGAATCGCGTTTTAAAGTTACGAATTGGATTTGTGTATTTGTGAATCGTCTTTTGAAATTACAAATTGGATTTGTGTACTTTTGAATCCTGTTTTAAATTTATGAATTGGATTTGTGTATTTTTTAATCATTTTTTGAAGTTACGAATTGGATTTGTGTATTTTTGAATCGTGTTTTGAAGTTACTAATTGGATTTTTGTGTTTTTGAATCTTTTGTATTTTTAAATATTTTTGAGACTGATTTGGCTTCATAAGATAATACTTAATAAAAGTCATTATTCTTGAAAGCATGACAAAATATTAATATCTTTTAAAATTCTGAGCTTAAAAATATTTTTACAATTACTATATGTAGATGGTATATTATTTAAAATATTGAGTGCTTGTTTGTTTCATGCTTGCTTAAGTGTCAAAATATTTATATTGTTTTCTTACATTTGTATTACTTTTGATAATTATATTTTATTTATTGTATGTTATTGTTTCTAATATAACTCAATCAATGATACCAATGATTTATTTTAAAACACAGTTATATTTAAGCTTAGAATTGAGCTATGTCCTGCCATTTGATTAAAAACAGTTAAAGTCAGCATGTTTCTGATAGTCTGGTGTAGTGTTTTACAGAGATACTTCCTTATTTTGTAGCACATATCGACAGAAATACAAATGAAAAACTGCACAACAGGAATGACTGGAGTCAAACTCGCATTCACTCTCCATCCTGTGGCTCAGGGAGCGGCAGACAGTCACCAGTCTCTACATCATGAATACAGTAAACATCATCACAGCAACATTCCCCAAAGCAAACACAAACACACATTTGCATTTGATTTCAAAACCAGAAAACACATTTAATGGATTCTCCTGATCCCTTGATGTAACTGTAATTTGACCGCCCTTTAGAGGAAAGGACGTCCATGCTATATTTCAGAGGTGAAAACACTAAACTTAAGCCTACCTTAGGCAGGGGGGGTTGGGGAAACAAACTCTGTGGCTGAAGGAAACTGTTTGTTGGACTCACCTTCCTTTTGGTTGTAGATGATGTTCTTACAGAGCAGATCGTTGTGACAGAGAACCACTGGAGAACCCAGTTTAGAAAGGTTCTGCTGAAGCCAGATCATCTCGTCTCTGAGACATGCAGCACTGGGAACTTCATTGTTCAGTCTGGGCACAGAAAAACACATGCATGCATTCAGAAAACACAAATACGCTTTTGTGTTTATGTCTGACAGAATTAAGGCAGATTGTACCAATACCTGCCTTCCTCTCTAAGATAAAGATCTCCAAACCCTGCATGAGTTTTGATCTATAAATAATAATGTAACCGCATAGACGTGCATGCGTCGTTTGCTCTTGCGCAATAACTCAGGACTTAATGTAATCTATTTTTAATCCAACTAAACCTGAACTGTAACTTTTGCTCATACTTGAAATGAAAACAAACATCTAGTAGAGGAAAAAAAAGCTAAACATTCCATGACCCAGTTTAGCACAAATAAGCAGAACTCACATTTCCTTTAAACATGATAAAGGTTTAGTTGATGTGCAAAAATGTACCAACAGATCTTATAGTTTTTATGAACTTTGAAAAGGAATTCATTATAGTTCATACTTTTCAGCCAATTCATCCTTTCATTGTGTTGTTTTATTGTATATAAATCTTGCTTATGTAGTTTAACAAATTATTCTATCAAATTATTCTAACAAATTATTCTATCTTGCGTAGTATTTCTGTCATATGTAAAGCACATTGATCTTTAAAAAAGCTCAGTATAAAATAGCTACTAATTTTTTTTATTTTACAAAGAGTATTTCTGCTGAATGAGAAATAAAAAGGCCAAGAGTGATGGTTTCTGTTCTGTGGAAACCTGTGCAAACACATGTATCTGTGCCATGATGAGTCATTTTATTTAACATTGGCATGACTTCTAAACCACAATTTAAGCAAACATATTAACTAAAATAACACGCATCATATATTTAAAGAACCTGCTGTACTTCACCGTACATCAAAGCAAAAGAAGAGATGTGAACATTCTTGTATTGACAGCTTTTATACATGTTTATACGCTGTTGAACATTTTATGCAAGGGTGTTTGTTACACTGCATGTTCTTTGCAAAAGAAACGGGTCAAGACAAAAAGATTTCATAGATGGCTATATAAAATGCTCAATTATACCGTATACGGTGCAATAACTAAATGTAAAGCTCACCTCTGGTCCATCTCAGGGTCTTCAAAGTGTGAAGGAACAAGAGAAAAGAACTTGCTCATCTTCAGCCAGAGACCTGACTGGGGCACCCAGCCATTGTGGGCATGAATGGCATGGTATTTTGCCATCTGCCTCGCAATGTGCCTGTAAACATGATTAAATAAAATCAGTTTATTATCAGGTTTAGATTCAACTATTAGTTTGACATTTTAGACACTAAAATATGTTTGAGATCGGCACGATAAAGGACATTTATTTCGGAATGGGCTCATTTAACAATCAAAATTATAAAACTGAATCAATTCCCAAAGTACGCTTTAGTATTTATACCATACATGCAGTGTTTCTGTGTACAGGCGCTTGACAGGTGCTCACTAGTAAAATTTATCCCTATGTCCCTAAATGTTATTATAAGTAAAAAGTATGTTTGCACTGGTAAAGCTGTGGATATCTTTTAATCCCCACACACATCAATTGCCGTGCGCTTTCTTGTTTTTCTTGTTCTGCCTCTTCTGTTTCTTTTCTGAATGACCACAAAGTAAGTAGTGCATATACCATTTAAAGCACATCTAACTGTGCTCAGGAATGTTTAGTATTCCATTTTTACACTTTCTGTTAGTTGATCCTAAATAAACACAAAGTAAATGTGTTGTTTTTTTTTTTTTAAACCAAATTTGGCGATTCATCATTTTTGTGTAAGTGCATTATTGAGCTGATTCAGTGCTGAAAAACCAAGAAGGAACTTAAGGTGTTTTTTTCAGAATGCGGATCAACGGCTTGGTTTAGAGCCAACTTTTTATAAACAAAGTAAGTTGTGCAAAAACAATTCAAAGCTGCATCCAAAATTGAGCTGTGTGCATACAATACTGTACAGCGCTGCTGATGCACTCCCTGTAAACATATCCTAGTGTATTTGTGAAATCTGAAAAATATATATATTGTGAAATATAAATGTGTTTATTATTTTAGCAGGCATTACTTTAGTTTGAAGTTTTAATATGATGCTCAAGAAACACTTACTGTTATAATAAATGTTACTTGTGCTGTTTAATACAGGGTTTCATCAAGTCAAATGTAAGACTTTTTAAGGCATTTTTAGGGCCATTATGAATGAAATTCATGGCTAAACGCTAAGGATTTTTTTTCTTATGGCCCAGTCAAAACATTAAAAAAATATTAGAAACAAATGTTATTGTAAAGATTTACAACATTTTTATAAATATAATTATAGAATTAATAAATAAAATAGAGTTATAGAGTTAATAAATAAAAATTTGTCGAAATGATTGGATGAGTGTTGGCCTGATTGGGTAGCTTTACATGGACAAAGGAAAATAAAGACCTGTTTAAAATGATTTAAGACTTACAACACAATATTTAAGTGAGTTTAAAACTTTTTAAGGCCTAAAATTTTTATTTTGATATTTAAGATCAAGGTTTAAGACCCCGCGGATACCCTGTAACATTCCCCTTATACCACAATGCATTTTTAAAGGGACAGTTCACATTAAAAAAGAATTTTATCCTCATTAACTAATACTGAAGTGGTTCTAATCTTTTATGAATTTCTTTATTTAGTTGAACCCAAAACAAGATATTCTGAAGAATGTTAAAAACCAGCAGCAGTCGACATCGATAGTAGGAAAAAACCCACCAAAATTCTTCAGTATATTCTTCTCTGTGTTCAATAGACAAAAGAAACTCAAACAGTTTTCTAAGAAATGACTGAATTTGTAGTTTTGGCTTTATAAGTATTCTTTCATGAACAGAAACTTCGAAATCCCCTATTTAAAATCTCTAATGAACATTAATACTCTGACATTTTTAATCAATTTAATCCATTAATGTTGAAAAATTGTATATTTTTCCACTAAACCCCAAACGTTTAAATCCCAATGCATCTAAAATTGCCTAACCGCCAACATTTAGTCATCGCCCTGCTAACACAGTAGCCTTGTTCTCTCACAGCTGTCTGAGACTCGACACTTACTGGCGGGAGGCCTGGGTCAGTGTACAGCATAGATAGAGAAAGAGAGAAAGTGCAGTGCGTCATCGGTGTCTTAAAGGATTACTAGGTACGGTTTGGGCTTGTGTGACAAGTGTCTGGCTAGCTGGAGGTCAGCGCCGTTATCTCCATCGCCGTCTCGCCAGCCTGAAACAATTAGCTCAGTATTACAAAGGATGATCTGATGATCACCCAATTCTCTAACCTGAAGATGGCGGGGCTGCGGATGTGCTCAGGCTCCAGCGCTACACCCTGTAGAAACTCATAGCATAGGCCGTTGTTGAATGTACAGTAGAGGCGCGGGGCGCATCGGTGCGCCTGCAGGACACGGAAGCTCTTCACTTCGTTTTCACGGTCCACGAACAGTTCCGTCTTGTTCCCATAAACCCGCACCAGAACCACCTCCTGCATGGACCCACCGACATAACATCCAATCAGCTTGTTCGTAATGCCATCTGTGAACGTCTAGAGAAAGAGGAAGGAGAAAAAAACAAAGGGGTCATCATCATTTTTAGCTCACTCAGATGGTTTGAGGTTAACCAAATAAGTTGTGCATTAAAAAAACTCTTTGTTGTGATCAGCATCACATGCTTCGAGTTCTTCTTCCGTTTTTTTTTTTTTTTTGTCACCACTATTTATATTCAAATAAACCGAAGGGATAAATCACCAAACAAATTACCTAATAGCTCATTTAGGATCAAACCAACACAAAAGCAGGTGATTCCGCGTGACGGTGTTGAACAAACTTGCATTGTTTGCTCATGTAAAAATGGAGTGTGTTTGGAAGGCCTAGCATTCCAGGCCACAATCATCAGTACTATCTGGGATTGACTGGCAGTGGGCGGAACGTCAGGAATTTGATTTCTGCCAGGGTCAGAGGAGCCTGGCATGTGCTGAGCGTTCGATTTTGTTTCAAAGTTGAGGAAAACAACTCATTTTATATCCAGTTGCTCTCCAACACGCGAGCAACGTGACACACACCTACTCACTCTGTTTATGCAGGGCAACACCGTTCCGCACCTCAGGCTAAACACTGCTGAGTTTACACAAATATAATTACATACTGCTAACCCATCACTTTAGCGGAATCTTCATGGTGCTTTTTTCTTAAAAGATAGTTCTTTTTTATTTATTTATTTCATTTTTTATATTATTATCGTTTTTTCTTCTCTCTTTTATATGTCCTAAGAATGTTTGTGTTCTCTACATGTATCTACAAGCATTACGGTTGCTAGAAATTGATGGACTTTTGCACTGCTTCGTACTGCAATGTTATAATAAGTGAAAAAAAAGATAGTTATGAAAATTATGCCATCATTTACTCAGCTTCATTTCACTTCCTGAGTGTTTGTTTGCAAATGCAGATCAAATTATACATGTTAAAGAATGTCTTTCGTGTAATGAAAGTCAAAGGGATCTAACTTTGTCTGGATGTTCTTCAAAATCACTTCAACTTTCAGAAACAAAATCTCCTGTTGATTGTGTATGCAAAATAATTGCATGGCTTCCTTATTTTTTTTTCGCTAATATTCTGTCATAAAATGCAGGTGAGCATGGTATGGATATTCTTCTGATTTTCTTTAGCTGTCATAACAAAAAAAAAAAAAAAAATGCTGTGACAGTATAATCGAAATGGAAATTTCCACTTGGTTATCTTGATCCAAAATGCAGAGTATGTTCAATCCAATGCCATCACTAAGCACCTGAAAAACTTGATTCAAGGTGTCGCCCTTGCTGCCCAGCTAAAAAAAAAAAAGATCTCCACAGATACGACACAAAGGAGCTGGAAACCTGAACTACCACATTGTTAATGCTGTGGTCTGTAATTATTGGTCCTGACTTCATACATGCCAAGCTTCCAAGAATCTCATTCCTATGCTGCTCGTCCGGAAAGACCCAAAATCTTCTAGCTTCTAGGAAAGCAACAAGTCATATGCAGTGTATTTGTTCTTGGAAAGTTGCTTTTGTGTAAAACTGTGTTCAATCATTAAGTTATTTTCTGTTCTTCATTGTGCTTCCACCCATCTCAGGTTAATCAATCATGAACGCACAGCGCTCGGGGGCATACAGAGCAATGAATTGTCACCATCACAGTAGCACACACACCTATTTTGTGTACAGTAACTTCTCTGGATTGCAAACAAATACCTTGACTTTGACAATCCTTCACAAATATTGACTTGAGCCTATAGTTTAGAAACAGGAAATGCTGTTTGACCTAAATGCACGGATGCAAGTAGATGTTTCCTCATACTTTATGCATGTTGTCCATGTTTCAAAACTATGAACTGAATTAAATAAGGATAAGGTCGCACCCATATTCTTATCGAGCACATTAAATGAATAACAGCTTATAATAACTTTAATTCAGAACATCATCTAGCATCACTACCTACTTAATTAGATAATTAAATGGTCATATATTTTTTATTTTTCCGTCTTTTAAACTTCAGATCTCATTCTTTTTTATAACAAGAACTAGTGAAGCTGGAAAAGGCAATAGTAAAATTGTGACCGAATTTCTTACACCTATTAAATACACTCTAAAAATGCTGAGTGGCTTCGATCCAAATAAAAGCAATCCATTGGACGTATATTTTAACTGAGCTTTAAAACAACATTTGAACAGGTCCTTAGTTGACCCAAATTTCGGCTGAAACTACATTTTCTAGAGTAACATTTTAGTGACATTTGTATTAAAATGAACAGAATCATGTTTAATTTAGAGGGAAAATTCACCCAAACATTAAATTTCTGCAATCATTTACTCACCCTTCACTTGTTCCAAACCTGCTTTAACTTTCTCCTGTTGAACACAAATGATCTACTGAAGAAACCTGTAACCATTGACTTCCATTGTTTTTTTTTCCTACTACGAAAGTCAATGGTTACAGGTTTCCAGCATTCTTTAAAATACCTTCTTTAATGTTTAACGGAAGGATTGAAACCGCACATAAGTGAGTAAATAGTCATTATTTTTTTATTATTGGGTGAACTATCCCTTTAACTAGAATTACACCAGGATTCTACCGCTGCACTCCAGTCCGCCTGATATGCTAGAATGTTCCACAATCTGTAATATTGTTAATGTTAATCGTTTTATTCTCTTTTCCTCATCTGTTAAGCTGCTTTGGCACAATCTAAATCAGAAAAAGCTCTACAGAAATAAAGATGACCTGACTTGACTTGAAGTACACTTTCTAGAAAAACTGTAATGCGCACCAGCAACCAGTACAAGGAAGTGAATAGTTCAACGAACAACAAACAAAGGTGGACAAAACCCAAACTTTGGGTTAATTTTTTACAATTTAAATATCTACTTAGTGGTTGGGTTTGTCCATATTTACTCATCTGACCAAACAAACATTCATGGATTAAAGTAAGACAGAAATAGTTATTTAGGTAACCATTTGCATAGCATGAATTAACATGAATAGATTAAAGGTATTATTTATTTTCAGAGTAGCATAATGTATAATAACTAGTTACTCATTTTAAATTGTAAATACTGCTCGCTAATCTAGTGATTAAAGTAGTTAATTAAGTAGTAATAACATATTAATAGTTCAAAGAACCATTGCATTTGTTTAAAAAAAAAAAAGCAAACAACAATGCACAAACTGGAGGATCCACCTCCCACCTGCTTCCCTGTGCAATTTTGCGTCTTGTTTATTACTGTTGCATTCATCTCCTGGCAATTGTGCATTAGACGCTGTTTATCATGCATGCACGAGCCGGATGTTTTAATGAATGAGTGTGTTTGACAGCTCGCATTGGCTGCTGTGTCTCTGCTGAGCGCCATGGTGCCGAAGGGCTCATCTGGTGACGCAGCTCAGGATTTGAAGGCGCAGCACGCGTAACTACGCTTTCTGCATTATATAAGACGTCAAACATGCCGCTGTCACCTCGTGATGACTTTCTGCTTTTAGATTGGGTCCGCGTGCGACCACCTGAATGTAACGGCGAGAAAAGACATGAGAATTACCTTCATTTTGACCTCCGAAGGCTTCCAATGGGGTCTGAGTGTCTTGATGAGTTTCAGCGCCCCGGCTCTATAATCGTGCTCATCTACCGTCACGTCTAATTTTGGCACCGCCGGCGAGCCATCTGGGACGTGGATGTAATTGGCCATTGCTGAAAAATGCTCTCTGTGTTGCTCTGAGACGGGGAGGATTCAGTGAATGCGATAGACTCAAGCAGGGTGCGGATTTAAGGTTCCTCACGGCTACGCCTCCTGTGTTGTGTTGTTCGATTCTCGAATCACTCCGTTCGTTTTCACGATTCAAATGAACCGACTCGCACAGAGCTTCGAACATAGAGGAGGCTCAAACATAAAAATCTTTTGTCATTTTAATTTTTGCGCATTTTTTATCTTATTGACTCTTTAGAAAGTTTTAATTAATACATTTAAAAGTTCCAAAATCTCTTAAATCGCCAAATGGTCAAGGTCTAATGTTTTTCATTACATATTTAATGTTTTAATGTTGTTAAACGGATAGCTAACACATAAATGAAAATTTAGTTTTACATTCACATATAATTTACTTTAATTTAGGTGAAGCCTCGGTCTTTGTTGATGTATAAAGTCAACCCATTGTCTAACGAGACATTGAAAGTAAAAAAATATATATACATGCAAAAATAATACCCTTGGCTCCTGGCTATGGCAAAACTATTCACTTCTAAAGTCGTTAGTGTATTGTCAGGAGCCACATGTATTAATTTTGATGGTCACACTTTATTTAAAGGTGCTATTAATAAGTCATTAACTATGACTTTCGCCTCAGTAAACCCCTGATTTGTTGCTAATTACAGTTAAAAGTTAGTATTTGGGTTTAGGTATTAGGTATGATCGGTAAGTTCATACAAAATATATTTAGAATATATTTATAATGCACTTTATACGTACAAATAAACAGACAATAATTTATTAATAATCAGGTAATAAGCAACTAATTATTAATAAGAATTGCTCCATAAACTAAAGTGCTACCATTTTGTTTTGCCTGGACATATATATTTTTGACTCGGACTTCTTGGTTGTCAAAATGAAACTACACCAAGAAAATTGACACAAATTAACAAATATTCATTTTTAAGTTAAGTATCCAGTTAATTTAAGTGTTTCTGAATAAAAATATTTTATATAAGGTGGTATGTGGCTTGAGAATCTGTGTGGGAAGCATTTATTAATATGTTATTACAAAAATGTCATTACGCCAAACATTTTCATTTCTAAGTGAACTAACCCTTCTAATCACCCATTAGGCAGACGATCATAACCGACCCACAGCTGTGTAAATATAAAATATAAACATAAGTATTTTATTAGGTAACTTCAGCGATGGCGTTTGAACCGGTTCATAATAGTGAATCATATGAACGAACCGATTCGCTAGAATGATCGGGACCTCTCACACCCCCGTGTGCTAGGAAACAGTCGCGGTGCATGCTGGTACAACATGACTCACACGCTGATTTGCATCTGAAGCTTTCAGCGTTACTGTGTTACTAAGATAATGCTCAAATGAGAGAGGCGTCCTGTGTTTGCATTTCTGTTTTCCCCTCATGAAAATGTGTGCTTACAGTAGATCTTCATCTCTAATGGCCTTTAGCAAGATTTTCAGAGATGCAATTATGTAAGATTTGCAAAAAGCTGTGATTAATGAGTCATAAGCACTGCCTTTAATTTGGATGACGTTTAAATAGACATTGCAATGAGAACATAAAACATCTATCTATCTGTCTGTCTATCTATCTATCTATCTATCTGTCTGTCTGTCTGTCCGTCCGTCCGTCCGTCCATCCATCCATCCATCTATCATCTATCTGTCTGTCTATCTATCTATCTATCTATCTATCTATCTATCTATCTATCTATCTATCTATCTATCTGTCTGTCTGTCTGTCTGTCTGTCTGTCTCTCTGTCTATCTATCTATCTATCTATCTATCTATCTATCTATCTATCTATCTATATCTGTCTGTCTGTCTGTCTATCTATCTATCTATCTATCTATCTATCTATCTATCTATCTATCTATCTATCTATCTATCTATCTATCTATCTATCTATCTATCTATATCTGTCTGTCTGTCTGTCTGTCTGTCTGTCTGTCTGTCTGTCTGTCTGTCTATCTATCTATCTATCTATCTATCTATCTATCTATCTATCTATCTATCTACGTGCCTGCCTGCCTGCACATCCCTTCAGAATATTCAAAGAACTCCGTGAGTTTTTCCAGAAATTGCTCTAAGTCATTTAAAACAGGTGTGTCCCATGACAGTGAGGTTATCATGACATCAGAGCACACGTAGACATACCAGTGAGGCTTGCACGCAAAATTATCATTGAGATGTCTGAATGTAAAGCATTTTTACCGCAACCAGCCCATGTGTAATATTTATCCTGACCGCTCTATTCAAATAGTAATTATATCCTGTGCAGATGTTACTTACCTACAGGGGGCGCTTCGTGGCTCAGAAAGTTTACCTTATATATATTTTAAATAGCGTAAAGCTTATTGATTTATGGCACTGATTATTATTATTATTGTTATTATTATTAGTATTATTATTATTATTAACATGTTATTTCCTCACATTTGCCATAACGTTAGTTATATAACCATCCGTTAACAACACTGATAAACGAAGTGTGTCAAAGTAGTAACTTTCCTCGTTTGTAGTTCGTACTGAGAAAGCGTCTTCATATTAACGCTAGAATCTTTCCTATCCCAGATATTACATATTAGATAATGGAATTTAAACATAATACAGCACATGTTAGCACTTTATTTGTACATACACGTCCATTGGTAGAAAAACGGGATGTACGCTTTCTCAACCGACGCTACGACAGGTCACGTGATCCAGTTCTGTCCAATCCCCGTGGCGTCGCGGGCCGGAAATGATGGCCGGGCTTTCACACTAGTGCTTCCATTATGTTCCTGTAGCGTTAGCGAGGGCTCGAGTTTAGCTTACACACACACACACTCACACACACACACCTCGTGTAGCTGGTGGCACAGCACTGTAGCTGGGAGTGCAGCTCCGCAATCATCCCCGATACGCAATCTGGCCGCAAAGTACTAGTGTGTGACGTTGATTTGCTAGCTTTGCAAGGTAATGATTGTTTTTCTTTGACTAGCCAAGCTTGTGTTAGCCAGCACACCTGTTCTGATTTTTCATATGTACATCTCTTATTTGATACTTGAATTTTAAGAAATACGTAGCTATGTTTCAGTACAATTGCTTATGTGTCCTGTCATCTTTTTAGGTCCTCAGTAAGTATGGCCATGAGACAGACCCCTCTCACCTGCTCTGGTCACACCAGACCTGTTGTGGATCTGGCGTTCAGTGGAATAACTCCTTATGGATATTTCCTCATTAGTGCTTGTAAAGGTTTGTATGTACTTGGACTTAAAACCAACTCTTCACAGTAAACACAACCTCATTGCAGGGCATTGTTGGTTTTATAGTTGCACATTCATGCAGTGACCACTTGTGACATGCTCCCTATATTGTTCACCATGGTACTTTGAATATTCGGCTTGAAATCACATTTAATTATGACTTCAAAACAACATTATCACGTTACTTGATTGTGAACAATGTTGTGCTTTGATAGTCATTGGCTGACAATATGATTTTGCTATTTATAACTTGCTAATAATGTTTTTCTGAAATAAAATTAAGGAGAAAGTTTAAATATAAAACCATTTTTACCTACATTTGCAGGGCAGTGTGCTTAAAAAGTAAGCATTTCTTAAAATAAGTGTGTGCATATGTCATGTATCTGTCAAATAAGTTTGTTTTTGTGTTCAAATTTTGCAGATGGCAAACCTATGTTGCGCCAGGGTGACACAGGGGACTGGATTGGGACGTTCTTGGGTCACAAGGGTGCTGTCTGGGGTGCCACCTTGAATACAGAAGCTACAAAAGCAGCAACGGCCGCAGCAGATTTTACAGCGTAAGTGTTAAAGGAATAAAAGATGAACTGTTATTGTTGAAACATGAGTTTACTTTCTATATTTCTTATGAATCTGACAGGAAGGTATGGGATGCTGTCACTGGAGACGAGGTCCTCACCCTGGCGCACAAGCACATTGTGAAGTCTGTAAACTTTACACAGGTATTCCATGCTGATGTATAGAACGAGTTCTGCAAAATTGTGTAAGCCAAGAGTTATGGCAGATGAAATCTTGACTTTGTAATCTTGGAATATGATATACATTTCAAATTATATTTATGCACAACGTGGGTTTTTTAAATTATTATAATTTTATATTAGTTTTACTGTATTTTTGAATAAGTAAATGCAACTTTGGCATAACAGGCTAAATGTATTTATTTTAAACTACTTGTATGAACAAATGAATAAGTCATTAATTTATTCTAGTATCTAATTAAAACATTTTGCAACAATTTTAGTAAGATATAATACTGATCTATATTGAGATATTCAGACTATTTATGCAACACTTGGTTTATGAAATGATCTTACTTAAAATAGTTAACCTGTGGTCATTCAAAACCACGGGTTAACAGAATGCTGGCTCAATTTGCTTCATGATTCTCATAATTTACTTCGGCAATCAGTAAAGTTTCATAACTAAATGTTTCAGTTAGCTTCATTTTCAAATGTGAACCCTGACAGGAGAAACAGCATGTCACTGGGACTTTCCTTATTAAATTTAAACCACAATAGATAAAGTAATAAATAAAATGAAATAAAGTTTGGAACAATAGTAACCCATGTGTTCAATCACTCAGTACATTTACAAGGATACCAATGCAATTTTAATACGATTAAGACAATACTCTGATTAAGACTCTACCATATAAACAGAAATTTTTCATTAATTTAATCAGATTAAGGTCATAATCAAACTCTACAGAAATGTAATTAAGACGTGGCATATGCCGGTTTTAGTCACATCATTGACACTGTAAAGACATGTAAACGCAATCAAACTATTACCGTTGTGTAGGGTTTTTGCCACATTTTGCAATGGGACAGTCTATATACACACGGCTGTTTGACACTATTCTCTGCACTATCAAGTCAGTAGGACCACAGACATCTACAGTGTACATTGCGAAATGCTGAGTTTTTTTTTTAAAAAACCAATATCCAAAATCCAAAATCTCGTTTGTCATGGGGGCATGCATGAATTATTCCTGAATGAAAGTGCCAAACTGCAGTTAAAGTCAACAAAATAAAAATAAAACTCCCGAAATTACATGAAACTCCAGAGCAAATGTGGATAGCACGATGACGCAACAACGTTAATCAAACTATGTGCTATAGCATGTAAAAAGGGATCATGAAAGCAATATTCAAAAAGTAACTCATGTAAACACCTTAAACATTTTATTGTCTTATTCAGATCAAGGCAAATCATTTGATCACCGATTACTACATGTAAATGAAGTCACTTTCTGTAAACTTGCCAGAGTAATTTCATTTAGGAGTTTTTACCAGCATGTGTTGAACCAACAGGACAGTAACTATCTCCTGACTGGAGGAAATGATAAAGTACTGCGCATCTATGACCTCAGCAAACCTGAAGCAGGTATTGAAAGTTAAATAATAGTTTATTTGCTTTGATGATAGCCGCTTCCTTTCATAAATGCAAACCTGGTTTTAAAAAGTAACTTTTGTAATGCAGAACCCCAGGAGATTGCAGGCCACACTTCTGCCATAAAGAAAGCACTGTGGTGTAACAATGACCAGCAGATTCTTTCAGCTGCCGACGACAAAACCATCAGGTGAGTATCCCGAATGGTAACATCTTTTGACTTTACATATGCAGATAGATTGATTTAGTGTCATCTTCTATGTATAGACTTTGGGACAAGAACACAAACGAGGCGGTGAAGACTTTATCATTCGATGCATCTGTCAGCAGCATGGAGTACATTCCTGATGGGGAGACTCTCGTCATCACATACGGGAGAACCATCGCTTTCTATAATGCCCACAGGTTTCTATCTTTCATATCGTGCAAATATTACCTTGAACGTCAAGTTGGAACAAAAAACATGTTCTGTACTGTACAGAAAACTGATAGCGCCAGACTGATATTTTGTGTTATCTTCAGTTTGGACCTGATTAAGACCGTAGACGCCCCTGCTTCCATTCACTCCGCTTCCCTGCATCCTGATAAAGACTTCTTTGTGGCTGGAGGAGATGATTTCAAGCTTTACAAATATGACTACACCACCAAAGAGGAAATGGGTATGAATATAGTTGATAATCATGTTCATATACCTAAAGCACATGGAAAAAAAAGGTTTATTATGGATTGGCTCATGACCAAGCATATGTTTGTTCATGCTTGACAATATGATTGATTTGTCTGCCATTCAGAGTCATATAAGGGTCACTTCGGGCCTGTGCACTGTGTGCGGTTTAGTCCTGATGGAGAGCTGTATGCCAGTGGCTCGGAGGATGGCACTCTGCGTCTGTGGCAGACAGCTGTAGGCAAAACATACGGCCTTTGGAAATGTGTCCTGCCTGGTGAGTTTACATAGATATTGCTTCTAGTATACTAAAGCTGGCAATGCACACTCAAAGTTAGTATTTATGGCTGCACCATAATTGAAATAAAATTTGTGCCAACCATTTTATAATATAAAATCTTCAGAAGGGTTTACTGCTGTTGTCAACTTAAGACAAGATAATAATTAATATGTTATTGTTATAATCATTATCAAGATTCTGATATTTATAGCTAATGTTCATAGTCAAATAATCACAAAATATTAACTCTAAAGCAGAGTAAACATGAAGCGTTTGTGTAGCATTTTAGAGAAAGATCTATATTCAATCTGTATGATTATAGTGAATAGCAAATATGAATGCTTATTTAACAAATTGTAGTGTACATAGTTGTGAATGCTATCCTTTTGATAATCGATATTACCAGATTGTACTTGCTAGATGTCAAATAGGTCGCTCATTCGTAATTGGAGAAGATAAACAAGTATATTTTTTAAACACATTAATGCATAAGTCCATACACTCCAAATTAAAATGAAATTACAACACTTAAATGTGTATTTACTGTTATTTTAATCAAAATATTGTTTTTGAAGACCGTAAATAGTTAAATTGCTCAATTGAAACCATTTATTATGATGTAATACTATTTTCCCATGAACATAACTGTTGCTTCTGAATAGACATTACATCATGTAATAAATCATTATTTCCTTCAAATATTTCAGCAGGATTGGAAAATCTGGGTATCCAAGGGGTATTAAAAAGTCTTAACATTTGAAAACGAAAATGTAGGCCTTAAAAAGAAAAAAATTCACTGAAATATGGCGTTGTGTGTCTTAAATACTTTTTAAACATGTCTTAATTTTCCTTTGTGCATGTGAAGCTTCCCAATCACTACAACCAACAATCTAAAAAAAACATGTTTAACAGAAGTTATGTTGATTAAGTAATTGATGGATTCTCTTCACCAATATGGTTTAATTATCTTCCTTGCATCCTTACAATAACATTTGTTTTAAAGTTCTGCGTATATGTATGCATAAGTTTAGTTGATATTACCTTATTTGACTGTTTAGTTTTTGAAAAGAACGTTTTGTTCTCTTAAGCATTCTGAAACATAATTAACACTTATATATTTAATATTTTGAGAGATTTCTAGGAAGAATAATCATTGAAATATTGAGAACAAAACACTAAAATAAGTTTTAGGAATGTTTCGACAATGCTCTGATTAAAATGAAGCTTTATTTCTGAATTTTCTCTCAGCATTCAAAATGTCCTTTTTTAACAGTTTTGGAAACTACAATTTATATATAACCATGTTTTGACACTATTTAAAAAAATGTGGCTAAGAAATAACCACATTTCAATTTTATCGGGGCATGTACAAATATAATCCACTGGCCATTACAAAAAAATTATTAGGGTTTTGCCCTGTAAAAGTCTAAAATTTCATTCATAAAGGTCTTAAAAGTCTTAAATTTGTCTTTGTGAAATCTGCAGTAAATATGCACATTCATTTCCTAAATGCCTTAAGTATTCAAACACTGTTCGTTTAATACACCTCTCTCGATATCTAACCAAAGGAAAAGCATATACAATATATTTTAATATTTAAATAAAATGTAAGTAGTTAATTTCAGTGCTAAATCCAGTAGTACGCTAGAACTATCAGTAAATTTTGAAACGTTTATTAAATGTCCCTGCATTCACTTCAGAGGTAAGCTGATAAGTAGCATATTTTGCTTCTCATTTGTATGAGGAAATGCTCTCTTCAGCTTTCAATCAGCTCTACAATGCAATGTGTACAATACAATAAATATTCATTTATGCTTAAAATACACTCTAAATTATTTTACCAGTGATTATTGTTTACCCTCTCATGAGAACTCCCTTATAGTTAGGCATAAACCTATTATTGTATCCTATGGTAAAACCTCACATTGTCTTACAGAGGAGCTGTCATCAGAGAACTCTGAAGCGCTTTACTGCCCTCCAGCAGAGATCAAGGCCTGAGTCAGGAAAAAGAGAGAGACAACGAGGCAAAGGAGGAAAGATCACGGGACAGGGAGAGGTCAGGGGACGGGACGGGTCAAGAAACCACACCCCAGCAGAGTGCTGTGCCACCACCCTTCTTCACTAGAGACAGACCGCGCTGCCAAGCATGACTTTTAAACGTGAAGATGAAACCCACACGTACGCATTGTGGAAAATCAGGAGACGGCGGTAGAGCTGAGAGTGCTAGTGCTAATGCTAATCCTCCAGCTGCCTGCTCTTTCTTTGATAGCCATGAAGCATCAGTCAGCTCCTTGGTATAAAAGCGGTCGGTTTCTGCAGCACTGTGATCACTTTGGTTGAGATTTACTTTTGTTTTGTTTTATTTTGGTGTTATAATGTGCTTTCAGTACAATTTGTTTGTTATCGCAAGAGCTCAGTGTTCAGTTTGAAAACATCTCTCAGCAGAAGTGCTTTTGAGGAACTTGCTATTCAAGTGTTTATCAATAGTAGTGTGAACTTGTGGTAAATGTTTTCCATGAGTGCTCGGGAAATTTGTAAAACTTTAAAGTGACTTAAGTTCTTTAATCGTTTTGTCTTTGGTTGCAACATATGTTGTATCATTTGGCCAATAAAATGTTGTACCTTTATCATCTGGAATATTTCTCTTTATTTGTGTATGTCTAGATCAGTCACATATGAGTTGTATCTTAAGGTGATACAGTTCACCAAAAAATGACAATTCTGTCTCAAAATCAGCTTAGAATTGGACATCTTTTCAAAATGTCTTGTTTTAAACCCAAAGGAAGATATTTTGAAGAATGGTGGAAACCAGTATGCATTGAATTTCCTATTTGCCTCCAAAATTCTTTAAAATACATTATATTGTATTAATTCTTTAGATGAATTGTCACTTTTATATCGTATTGTTTACTTCCTCAATGAAGCAGCTGTTAAGTAGTTTAATTTTTAGTCTTATTCTTAATTATTGTTCTTTCTACTCGTTATGCGAAGTGAATCTCCTATAAACAAGAGGTCGAACTCGTCTATTTATCGCCAGTGATTTTAAATAGTCCACCCGCCAATCAGAAGGCTCCTTTCTGCGGCGCGCATCCAATAGGGGTCTCTCTCCTAAGGTGGTCACTGATCCCATAAAAGAAATCAGCCCCAGGCAGCGATAGTGTCCTGCTGGAACCAACAGACATGTCGGAATTTCTGGAAGACCCGTCCGTGCTTACTAAAGACAAGCTTAAAAGTGCATTGCTGGCCAATAATGTTGCTCTCCCGAACGGCGATCAGCGAAAGGACGTGTACGTGCAGCTGTACTTAAAGAATCTGACCGTGCAAAACAAAAAAAGTAGCGGCTCTCCAGATGTCTTTTCCAGCGACGAGGAGCTTCCTCCAGCGCCCGTGGTCTCCAACAGGAGCCGCTCCGGCAGGGTGGGTTGTTTGGAGATGCTTGCTTTGTTTTAGCTACACATGGATTGTGAATCAGATGTGGTTGACGTAATTCGCAGGTTGAATTGTTATTATTTTTATCAAGGCATGTATCTTTTAAAAGCCTGTTTGTTTGGTAAAAGTTGAGAGGTTGGTATTATTAAGTTTATTGTTGTAAGTGTGTAGTGTGAGCCTGCACATGTCTCGCAAATGAAAACAAACCGGCATGGCGAACTTTTTTACTATGGTGTCCGGTTTGTGAACGAATCGTTACTTTTCACTTGAATCATTTCAGTGAATCACTTAACGTCGGTTTGAACGATTCCTTCAAATAAATGTGGTTTGTGCTTTGTGCTATGCTTGAATGAGATTTACAGTTGTGAACCTCAATTTTTACTTTAATGAGTACTATTAAAATAGATACATAATATTATAGTCGAGGACTTGTTTTGCTCTTGATGTTTAATGAATACACATTATATTAAAATTATATATGCTTAATCCGTGCAACTAAGGCTAATGGAAATATTATAAACTACCCATAATATAATCAAACACTTTGAATGCTTATTGCTATAATATGTTGCTACTGGATGTCAGGAAATGCAGTTCCATTAATGAGTCAAAATTTGAAATGAATTGTTCAAAAGAACCGATTCCTATTCGTCGAACATCCTATTACTCATTACCCTGCGACAGTTTCCCGCTTAAATGACTTGGCCTGATTCATTGCATTACTAATAATAGTTCAAAAGCCATAACTCCATCTGGCAAATTCATAAATGCATGACTTTGTAGGGATTATTAAGTATTCTAAATGAAAGTGCACTGCTTTGTGTAATCTTTTACACATCTGATTAAGGTGTTGCCATTGAGAAGATGTAAAAGCCCAAATTTGAATGAGAAATATGGGAAGATTAATAACCTATAAATTAAAATCCAGCGAACTAAGCCTTGAGATGGCTTCTTGAGTTTTGTTAAATCAATGAAACATCTGGGTAAACACTTAGAGAAGTGGGAGTTTTCCTCCCTTCACTTGTATTTGCTGCTATTTCATAAACCAATAGTCTGTAGTTTTGGATTGTTCTAGTGCATGCCTGGTGCTTTTTTCTTCACCTTTTTCTATCAGATGTAATTTTATGTCTGTTGACGCTGTTATTAAGCGGGAATACTACAAGTTTGTAGTTGGTTCTGTTTTTATAACCAACCTGATAAGCTCACTCCCCCACCCCTGCAACTACACAGGAGTCCTTTTATGTTTTACAGAGATGTTTGATGTTAAGGGCACCTCCAGTGCTCGTGAATGAGATAGTGCTGCCTGTCATTCTAAAATCTTCCCGCACAGCATTTTACTCCCATTAACTCTCTCTCTCTTTCTTTCTCTCTTCATCTATATAGTCTGGCAATAGGTTTTTCTTTAGGAATAAAACCCTTTAGAGTATGTGATTTATCAAGGTTGAAATCCATTCGTAAGGTAGATCTCTTAAATTAAGACTCAAGAGTTTTCAGTGTTTTAGATGACTGTTTATACTTTGTGCATTTATTTATCATTTGTTTAAATATTTCTTCATTTACTGTTAGTCTTTTTATAAATCACAATTATTATTTTATTTTCTTATTTTGTGTGTTATGATACAAACTATGATAATAATAACAATACTATGCAGCCCTATAGACCCCATATTAAAAGCTTTGAGCAGATAGCTGCAGGTCTAGGAGCTGTAGAATAATTCAAGAACTGCACAAGGCTGTTTTTATAGTGGGTTTGGTCCCTTTATTGAGGAAATAGATTCTTGTGTGAAGGAATTCATATGTTGGCTGCCAGATGTGTGTGTGTTGCATTCCTCTTTGAAGCTCCTGTGTCTGAGATAGTAATTTCAGAAACATTCGACACGCACTCACAGTCACATTTCTGGGATGTTTTGTTGTGCACGGTTTAGAATTTGCAACAATCGTGACCTATAAAGATGATTGATTTGATTATGTCATCACTGCATAGTGAGAGTTATGAGAGTTGTTGTGTTCAAATAAAACGGGTCTTGAAGCTCTGATGCAAAAGCCATAATTGGGCAAATTGTGGTTAACCAAAAACATCATGCTGCTTTTATTGCTAATTTCCAAAGCGATGACATTTAGTATTGAAGCATGTGTGTGTAACGGCATATGCTAAGCCACAGGACTGAAGGTCAGAAAAAAACTTATCGCTTATCGCAAACCAGCAATGTCAGAAAAGCAAAAGTTTGCTCTGAAACTTTATGCTAAATCCAAAATTTTTTATTTGTAGCTTAGAAATGTAATATTCTTTAAATTCGTAAGTAATTTTGGATGTTGAAATATGTTCTCAGACTTGTAAACAAGCAGCATTTGGTAATGTTTTTGTTATTGGGGTTATAGTAAAATAATTTAGTAAATAGTTTAGTTTTTATTTAATACAGTAACTGAATAATCAAATGTAATGAATGTCTTCAGTGGAGTGCGTAAAACACATGAAATTAAAGAGAAGGTAAAGAGACCCGATTGGAGGAGGCTCGTTCTTTATCCTCGCGCTGCAGGGGGTCTGTTTAACTGTTTTCTCATTAGTGAAGTGTTCAGATTTTCTACTTACAAAGTAAGCCATGCAAATAGCAAACGCACCATGGCTAGACGCAACTGACTCTTAAAGGGAATGTGAGATGAGGCTGTATTTTTCCATCATTAAAATAGCAAAAGTGGGTTTGGAAACGCCCTAAAGCTTTTGCCCTATGCGCTTCATACTTTGCGCCTAGATCGATAAAATAGTGCCCTAAATCGGCAAACTATAGCCTATTTGGTTTATTTATGAGCGGTTTCAGAGCGCACTCTTATGGAGAGGAAACCCAGACTCTCTGACTTGTAGCCAGCGTGTTTCCAAAGCAGAGCACATTTAATAAAGTTTTGTTTTGCGCGTCTTTCTCCAGTTGTGCAAATAAACTGAGGTGTTTCGGATGTAGATCCAGGACAGAGGCAATCACCATCAGTGCTGGTTTGGCATCAACTCCTCTGTGTCAAACTGCAGAATTCTCTTTTCATGTCGCTTCTTTCTCAAAATATGTTTGTAGGCGTATGATACAGGTGTTATAGTCCCGCGAGTTAGCAAATATGTCAGCAAAACTTTAAAAAAAAAAAAATCGGTTAATGAATACCATTAATCGGTTAAAAATGGTTAATCGGTTATTTTAAACGTTCCTAAGTCAAATAATAGTGCATATTTTTTGTTTTATAAACAATTCAATAAAATTAATCATTATTTATTTTTCAAAATAACAAACAGTAAAACAATTTTTAATGCCTGAGTGCTTTTAAAACCCTTACACAGTCACAGGCCTTCAAAAACACTTGCAAAATGATCAATTATAAGACTTAACATTGTGTATACTTGTGATGTGACTATTGCGAATGATCACATTGCGAAATCGATGCTGAGACATTATATTGTGCAGTCCTAATTCATTCAAATGAACTGAATTATGGCAGAAATGTGAGCTCTAATTTCAGCCAACATGCTAATCCAGAGTTGTGCATGTATAAAATGTGTTCTGCTCATCTCCAAAACCCATTTTAGTTACTAGCCTCCTTTTTTTTCACTGACATGCTGCATTTGACAGTCACACAGGGTGTCCGCGGTGTCTTAAAAAGAATGTAAAAGTTGATAAATCAATGTAAAGACATTTAAGGCCCTTAAACGTTTTAAATGCTATTTTACAAAGTAGTAATTTTTTTGTATCATTTTTGTTTATGCATTGTATGTTTGTATGCTAAAGTTTGCCTAAATTATTTCTGCAATATGCTGATTTATGAAATCAATAAAATCCTACTAGATTTATTCAATATATGAATAACATTTTAGTTTTGGATTAATTTCTTACATTAATATTCAGTAAATATTCTGCAAGTTAAAATCTGGCCAGTGTTTCCAGTTGAAAAGTGGTTGTAAGGTCTTAAAATGCATGGAAAGAGTCATAAATAGGTCTTAAAAGCCATTGAATTTGACTCTCTGATTCCTGTATATATATACTCTGTCACAGAAACTTGATAAATGTGAGGGTGTTGTCTGTAGACTGAGTGACGTTTTTTCTCCTCTGTCCTGCTGGAATGCTCAGATTTATGTTTTTTTTTTTTTGTTTTTTTTTTTGAGAGTAGGCAGTGTTCCAGATCAGCCCTGATCAAGGCCCCTCACTGCAGCTCATACGCCTTCATGATCTACTCCTGCCCCTTCCAAACACATTCTCTCCTCCACTTCACTGTTTTCACCTCTACTTTTCTAGTCACATGGTCCCGTTTGTGGATCAGGGCTCTACTCCAGGGAATGTGGCTGGATTTGCATTGTTCCTGCTTTCGTCCCACATTAGAAACCTGCGTTTGCAATGCCTTTAGTCCCCATCACTGTGGCACTTTGCATGTGCAGTATCCCTTTTCATTTCACTGCCTGAATGACTTTTATTATTTTATATAAATCAAAATTTTTCAAGTGGTTGTGTACTTTGCATATTTTTTTTTCACCCTCACACTTAAGTTTTACAGTAGGTGATGTATGCATATTTTACATTATAGTTTCTTGAGATAAGTACAGGTTGAGCCAAAAAACAGTTAAATATGTACTGAAAAACACCCCTCTTGTTGTACGGCAACGGATAAGAGTTTAACTCCACCCATGTGCCTCCAAGCTGTTTCTCTTGTATTTATAGTATGTATATAGTATTTTATATAGTATGGTATACGGTATGTTTATGGGCTGAGGGAAAGCTTGCTTGAGTTCCTCCCTGGTTGCTCTTATTGTATAATATGGAGCCTGTCAGGCGTGTTTAAACACTCGTTGCTTTAACAAGTTCAATACTTTACCATGATGTCATCTGTACATAGTGCAGCGTGCAGTCATTTAAAAATGTGCACATCAAACTATTAAATGAGCTGCATCATGGCTGATGGTCATTAATGTGAGGCTTTTTCTTTACAGAAAGCCACCAGGAAAACCGACAAAGTTCGTCCTGACGATGTTGATGTGACGGAGTTGAGCAATGAGGGTTTGAAGGACCTGTTGCTAAAGTATGGCCTGAATGCTGGACCCATTGTTGGTGAGCCGATTTTAAGGATTCAACTTCAAAAAGTAAATATTTGCATGTGTTGTATAGTTCCTTCAGATCATGGGTCTCAAACTCAATTCCTGGAGGCCCGCACCTCTGCACAGTTGTGCCCTAATACTATTCTAAGACAGCTGATCAAACTAATCGGGATGTTCCAGAGTAGTCTTGAACACCTTGAATAGTTGGATCAGGTGTGTCTGATTAGGGCTGGTGCAAAGCTGTGTAGAGCTGTGGCCCTCCAGGAATTAAGTTTGAGACCTATGAGACAAAAGACAAGAAAAAGCAAACGTATACATTAAAGGCCCCCAAAACATATATTTGGTCAGTTAAATCATACTTTGCTGACCTTACAAAGTTTTTTTGTAAAGTGTTAACTAATTAAACAATACATAAACTGTTCTGAAAAACCAATGTTAATTACGTTTTGGTGGGAAATGGTTTATTTGAGAGCTAGAATTTATTCCTAATGTTTACAAAGTCACCTTTTTGGGTTAAAAGTAACTTATCAGTTGTTACAGAAAAATAACATGCAGAGCTTTTTTTTTTTATATTTTATATATTTTTTTAAATCATTAACCTAAATCACAGTTTTATGATCAAAGAAAATTAATGTTGTAATGATGTAGAATGAGATTTGAAATGCATTTTTTATTGCTAGAAAAAGAGGAAAGAGAAAAATCATCTAAAATGCATCTTATAATGGAAAAACCTCAAGAAATGTAAGAGGTCATAAAACCTTTTCTTCCCACTCAGCATAAAACCAGCAACTAAACCCAAGTGTAGATTCTGGAATGATCCAGATGATGTTCTGCTGTTGTGCTATCAGTAAATCAGCAGTTTCACCGAGCACGCAGATTTCCATGTTTTTCCATCTCAGTCCTGAATGGCTACAATGTCCTTAAATGGATGTTGGAAAGCTCCTCAGTATAGCGGCATGATATTGGAAAAAAACTGACATTGCAGTTTTTTGTTTATGATGAGTTAAATAACTCTATTTGGAAAGAATTCATAATTTTACATCGTGATAATTCACAAAAGTAAATAGTGCATTTATTACAAAGTGTAATAAGCAAATCACACACATGAGTACAATAGAGCAAAGATACATATCAAATAGACGGTGCTTTATTTTCAATTTTACCTCAATACTGTTCGGATTTCCAGAAAACCAAGTGGAAATCAAGTGGAAAATAACACACTAGTCTTAATTGTAATAACAACTATATCTCCTAAATATATGTGTTCTTTAATAAACATTACATTTTGGGCAGGATGATTCTTGTGTAGACCTAATACTGACATTTAATGTCTTCTTCACATCAGCATCCACTAGGAAGGTGTATGAGAAGCGGCTTCAGAAGCTGCTGGATCAGGGTCCTCCTGTAGCTGTGGCTCTTCCCTCAGAGACGTCACAGACTGATGGCAATCAGAATGGCAACAATGATTCAGACCAGTACAGCGACAGGGAGGAAGGTAACACATTACCAAATACCTAAAAAAAAAAAAATCTGACATTGTACTATTTTATTCTCTTGCGATTTTTATATTTCTATGTGAATACAATTTTTTCTGACATAAAGCTCTACTTGGAATAAAATCATTACCTTTGATTGGAATAATCTTGCAGAGGAGTGAATCAAAGAAATTGCAAGAATGAATATTTAAGATAGAACAAAGACCAAAGTGAAATAATAGTCCGATATTCAGGTACCGTATTACACTACGATATCATCATGATATATTGCCCCTGATAATGACAGGTCACCATATTAGTGATGTATCGCAAGAAAACCATCCACAATATATCATATTTGTAAATCAAGAGGGATAAATGCATTAAAGTCATAAGATATACTACTTTTATTAACATCACATATATTTCTTAGAATTGCAACATTTGATATGAGGTTCAATCTGCCATTTATAGAATAGCCACCTTATGTATATCGCTATTTTGTCCTGCCCCATTTATTGAGTAATCAAATGTAAAATTAACTGTTTTTTTTAACCTACAGTGTATAACATATCTGCTTCTGTATTTTGTAATTCGTGATGTGGATAATTCAGCTCTACAGTTCAAAAAAGTGACTTATTGATGTTTTAGTAGTTTGAAAAAATATGTTTAAGAAATAATAATATGGAAAGAAAAAATAGTGTAAAATAATAAAATGTACTGGCAGATTTTGTACCGTTATGCAACACCAACACCATATATCACTTTAAACTATTAAAATAAAAGTCTCTTTTTAAAACTTTTCAAGGTTAAAAGTTGTTGGAGGAATGATCAAGGTCTCATGATGCAATAAAATACATAAAACAAATATAGAAAACTACTAATTTAAGGATATTTCATTACTGCGTATATATTAATTCAAACAGTTCAATGTAATGCAACTTGTTTGTTTTAATGTTTTTATTAAATGTATTATATTTGTATTATTCATAAAATATTTTTGCTATGACGATATTGTCAAATAAGCTGGCGTTATAATAAATAAATAAGATGCAATAGTATGAACTTGTTTAACTTCGTCTTGCATGTCTGTTAGAACCCGTAGCTCCGGCCCCCGTGACTGTGCCTGAACCAGAAGTGGAGGCTGAACTGATCCCTGTTGTGGAGAGACCAGTCAGGAGTCGAGGGAAAACACCAGTGACCAGCAGGACACGCAGTGGGCAACACACTAGGGTAAGGATGAAATTGGTGCATTCATTCTTTCCCTTTTCCAGGTGTTTTAAATGTTATTACATCACGTTTGCATCATGTGCAAGGTGCTTCCATACTATGAACGAATAAACCCATGTTACGTGACTCGATATGAGCAAGTGGAAAATTAAGCATGTGAAAAGGATGTGGGTGGCAAGAGAAGGATTGCTTTGTTGTACTTGATAAAAACATCCCATAAAGTTCACATGTTAGGTCATGTTAGGGTATGCGGTGAGTAAGTACATGAGCCAAGTCAAATACATGAATGTTTAATCCCGTTTACACTTGTTTAGTGTTTTATCATTTTAATTTTCTTATCTTGCATCCTGTTTTTTTTTTACGTAAAAACTTGCTTTTCCACTAAATGACTTGGCAAGTTTGTCATTGTTTCAACACACCTGTTTTTGTTATTTTGTATCATGTAATGCATACTTTTTTACTGAGAAATTCCTCATTTATGTCCTGTACAAATAATTACTTACAAAATTCACAGAATTAGAGGGTTGTGAAAGTTTACATGCAGATATTTTTAAAAACAGTAACTGAAATTGTTTCCGAACACTCCAAAATATCCAGTTAGTTTATTTTCCATTTAATGAATCTGCTGGTTGGTTGCAATCAAGCAAGTAAGTGTGTAATGTAAGTGGTCTCATTTCAGTTGATTAATTCGAACTGTTCTTAAAAAGAAGTTTCAGACTGTGTGGTAAATGAAACAAAATCCCCAGACTGTAGATATGAGGGCCCACTTGATTTTAATTACAGCTAGCAGCTCTCCTCATTTCATATCCCTTGTCTGTTTTTTTTTTTTTTTTTACTTCGGCTTTAAGTTGACCCAGACTTTAATCCTCTTTTATTTATCTTCTTATTCCTTCCCTTCTTTCCTTCAGACATGCGTAGCTTTCTCATTGCTGTGTGACTTTACTCAGTTCTGCATATCTGAAACTTTTCTGTTTAGGCTTCTTGTAAACCTCTAGCTGAGAGGATTCTGTTATCAAAGACTTTTAAAACTTTTATAAAGTTCACACAGTATCACTACATGCCTCCACCCTTTACTGGACAAAAAAGAAAAGAAGACCATTTTCTCTCCAATATAAATAATTCCTTTTTCTTTTTTAACCCCATCCAACCTGAATATATTCCCAGCTTTTTCTTTTATGAGTACTGCAGCACCACCTGCTGTAGAAAAGACCTGACGTTCTTCAGGCTGTCACATGACTATAATATGTGCACATTGTGTATTAATGTTTCCATTCTGGATTTGAAAACAATAATGTAACAATATCATCAAAATAACAATATTACGGTTTCATGGTATTGTGATTATTGCTCTAAAATATATTCTTTTTTTTTTTTTTTTAAAAAAACTTCAAATATTTCGGAGCAGTAAACATGTCAGGCTGAATAATTCAAATGAATCAATGACTTCTGCTGTCATTCATTAGTTTCAAAAACACAAACTATTTCTATTCCAAACGGCGGTACACTTTGTCCCATGTCTATTTGCAACGAAATCTTATTGTAACTGGTTAGCAACTTGTATCTTGACTATTTTTGAATGTTTTAACCATGGTATTGTTAATGCATTTATTGAATTTATTGTATGTTTTATAATCGCAGAACTGCGAGGAAAAAAAACTTCTGTTTAGGTTACACAAACACTTTTGAAGAGGAAAAATATAAATTTATAATATAAATGGAACTCATTTTAAATGAATCGAGTTGAATTACATTTCTTTTAGTTTATTCTTGATTGTTCAGTCCAGGGGTGTCCCTGGAGGGCCGCAGCTTTGCACAGTTTAGTTCCAACCCTACTCCAACACACGTAAGGTGCGGTCACACTGGGCTTTTCCTCCCATAGACTTCTATTCATACACACACAAATGCGTCAGACTGGAAGCGTGGGGTCATGCGGCAAGTTTCGCAGGTTGCTGCGGTGCAAAGTTCAAGTTTGGTGAACTCTGACCTGCGAAATCACATCACTTGACTGCGTGAGAACAATCGAGGATCAAAACATGACATCTCTGGACAGAAATTTAAAACATGGAGCAATCGCTCGCTTTCAAAAATGTCTTAATAATCTTGTTTAATCCCGCCCTTTTTTGCAGCGACACACGACAGAATATCGCATGCTCAAACTCTGTGACCGCAGCTTAACTGTAGGTTTTAAACAAGCCTGAAGGACTTAATTAGTTTCATCAGGTGTGTTCAATTATGTTTGTACTGAACTGTGCAGAGCTGCTTGTTTGACACCTGTGGTTTAGTTAATACAAATATTTAATGATTCATTCATTATCTTTTTGGCTTAGTCCCTTGATTAATCTGGGGTCACCACAGCGGAATGTTCAACCAACTTGTTAATCCAAATGTAAAAGAATGTATATTGTTAATTCTAATAATATTACTCAAAATACTACATTATTTGAGTTAATTTTGAATATATTTTTCATGTTAAGTTTTTTATTCTGAAATGTTGTCACTAGGGATGTGTATTATTAATATAGACACATTTATCAACAAAATTAAGTCCAAAAAGTATGTTATATATGACAAATGGAAAATTATTAAGATTTAATGTTTTATTGTTATTATTTTTTTATTGTTTTTATTTTATTATCTCTATATTAATTGTACATGGAAATGACATCTGTCATCTCTCATTTCTACATCATAACCAAGACCAAAATAACTCCCAACACAAAACTTTTTTTCATGATTTACATCACTAATATGTTTACAGGGTGTTGAGTCTTAAAGTGCCTTATCTTAAAATCTAAATTTTAGGCTTATAAAGTCTTACATTATCTGAAATATCATGTTGTAGATCTTAAATCTTTTTTTAAATGTGTCATAACTTTCCTTTGTTCGTGTAATGCCATCCAATCTGTCCAATACCCATACAATCACCAACAATCCATCTCAATAAAAATTTAAACTATTTATTTTAAAAGGTAATTTTTAACTCTATTTAACATAATGGTTTAATTATTTTCTCATAGCTCTCATATGTGTCATTTGAAACTTTACTAAACGTGAAATGAGCCCAAAATTTCATTCATAATGGTCTTAAAAATGTCCTGAAATGTTTTAAATTTAACTAGGTGTAACCTGCAGAAACCCTGATTTAAAAAGTAATATCTCATAGCCTAAATCATTTGCAAATCAAGTTCCTTGTTTTCTGTTGATCTCTCGACATGACTACTCCTCATCTAAATGTTTTCATGCTCCAGAGCTGTTTGCTTCTGAATGTAAGCTGGTAGACCTTTCCATGTGTGATGTTTAGGAGGATGTGGAGGAGGAGGACTGGCCCGTCTTGAATGTTAAGAGAAAGTTGAAGAGATCCTCTCACAGGCCGGATCAGATGGTTCCTGCCAGCGACGACACCGTAACTCAATCTGTGGTTATGTTACTAATGCACATCACCTGGTTTCTGGGTGTGGTGGTGAAGTCAAAAATACGTTCAGGACGTGCACAGGGTGTGTTTGGGTTTGCACACAGGTGAACACTGTGTTTTCTTGTGCTCGTATTTGTTTCTCAAATAAGGTGAGGGTGGTGTGACCTATTTTGCTGCTCAATGGTTTACGTGCATGTGTGGGGTTTGCAGGAGAACTCTGAGCTCTCGTCTGCAGAGTGTTTTGCAGTTTCCGAGGATAGGAGAAGAACAGGACCTGGGGTAGGTGGTAGAGAGGCAATCATAGTGTCAAAGTTATTAGCTTGACCTGAAGAACCTGCTTCTGTCCTCACATTATAAAGGCAGGCAGGAGAGAGACCAGGCCTTTGCTTTCAGACAGGACATCAAAACTCTCATCCAAGAGTGAATCGCTGAGACGCCGCAGTGCACCGGTCCGCTCAGTTCTGAATGAGGCCTCATCCTCTGACAAGGTGTTGTTCTCGGTATAATCCCTCTACTGAGATTTCAGTTTGACATGAATAACAGGACATCTGAGGGTTCTTTGAGATTCAAAGGTTCATTCGAAGTCTGGGTCATTTCTGTTAAGCAGTACTTTTTCAAATTTTAACACGAATTTTGATCGTGCTTTTAGAGTCTGTGTATGTTATTTACACAATTTGGATCTATTTAACCAGTTATAAAATTACACCAACGTTTGCACAAATTATTGTTTTTTTTATTTTACTAAAACCATTTTGTAGCTGATTATTAATTTCACGAGTGTGTAACGGTTGGTGATCGGTTTCCTTTGTGTTGTGTAAAGTAAGGATCAGATCTGACACCAAATCACGTCTTGGACGGACTGTTTTATTCTCGTAAACGGATAAAAAAACACAGTGATCAGTTCCAGCAGTTTTACCTGGCAACCGGCAATGATGGGTGCATATTAACAATTATAAAAAGGAAAAGATACATTGTGAATAATAAAAACAAACAGATCAACAAAAATATATATTTTACAAGAGCACGTGCTCACCACGACCACTTTCTTGGCTGGCGCGAATAATAATGACCTATTCGGAACTAGTTTATAACATGCCACCAGCCAATAAACAGAGAGGGCAGTCATTTAGAAATAAAGGGCCATGTACATAATAGAAAAGCATGTATAAGCATTTTTATAACATGTTAGAAGTGTATGTAAAAATAAAAAAACTAAAATAATTACTGTATTGACTTATGTAAACTAGAAAAAAATCTAAATTTCAGACTACACAGGAACTACACTGCATAAGAAAAGGTGATATAAGATAAGCACGTTACTAGTATTATTAAGCTAATTAGAATTTTATTACTCATAGCAATCTCCCAATATGTGGGGCTTTCTAGACCTTAATTTAATTAGTTTAGATAAACCTATATTCTTCCTACAGTGGGGAAATTTACAAGAAAATTAAAGAACAATACAATAATTGCACAAATAAAAGCAAGGCAACATTCCAAGGAAAACATGTTTCAATCAGATTATTTAGAATTAAATTTTTTTTAAATAAATTCATAATAATTGCTACAACCCATGTTGACATTTTTTTTCTTTTAGTTGTAATTTAAAGATTTTATGCATTTTTTAAAAATTCTAATTATACAAGTTTTTTGTTAAACCAGTTTTAAGTTATTTTGTCAAATTATTAAATGTGGGGCCAAAGAAATGGACTGCCTAATGCTGAGTTTAGACTGCATGATTTTAGCCCTGATTTTGACTCTCCTAAAAGGTTTTGGGAAATCAGTGACAAATGCCTGAAATCACAGGCCAATTAGTGCTCGTTCACATAATTAATAACCACACAGTGTAAACTATCAAAAACTAAAAACTATCACCTCGTTATGTAGTTATCAACAAAAAATATACTTTGTGACTTGCGTTGTTTACGTGTTACTTACTGTGTGTGATTGGTTATGAGACGTAGTTTGGACAAAGTTGTCAGTGATTTCTCCTATTTTAAAGTCATGCAATGTTGTTGCCGATCCATCTTGCAGTGTAAACAAAGCAGCGATGAAACGCTAGCCCAGATAGTCATGCAGTGTAAAAACATCTGTGACACAACTACTTTGAAAATCCTACAGTCTGAACTCGGCATAAAAGTGCTGACCCTCTGTTATAATATTTCATTCATTTTCCGCAAGAAATTTCATCATGTGTTTGTTTGGGAATCATGTGTTTTGTAGGATTTCTCTGAGCCCTCAATAGTGAAGGAGGTGTCTGTTTCTCTGATGAGGATGAAAGTACAGCCTTTGGTAGGTCCAGTAGAAAGCATTCATGAACATCATGTCATATTCTAGTGCCACCGTGTTACTTACATTGCTCTTACATTAATAAAGACAGTGCCGAAGGATCCCAAACCCTCTAAGCGCTACTCCATGTCTGCAACAGAATCAACAAAACGCCCAGTATCCAGTCTGAACAACAAGGTGTCAGAGCTATGTTTCTTAAAGCATCCATAAATATAAAAGCCTCGCATTTAACAGTTGAGCTGATTGGTTTGCCTCTTGTGGTTTCTTTTGTAGCATGATGAGAATACTGCTGACATCCCCTCCCCTCCGCATAGACAATCCAGTCGAGAGCCACTAGTTTCTCTGATTAATACTGCTTGTGTTGAGGTGAAGATGCACACATTTACATCTCTAGTTGATGCTTTCAGCTTTTAAGCAATATATTAGATCTATCCAGTCTTCATTTTGGAATTAATTGCATGTTCATTATGCTACATTAATAAATCAGGTGGATGACCAGGGTATGCAGGACGTCCTGAGCTGTAGATCTGCAAATGGTGGTCTTCTGGTATGTTTCGCAGTTATGCACTGCTTATAACTCTATTAAATATACATTTTGGCAGCTTATGAGGCTCTGTTTATTCTCTAAAGGCCCAGGGTGTCAGATCTGCTGCCGTATCGAAGCTTTCAAAGCCTGTTTTGAGTCAGAGCAAACCTTCCAAACCCTTGGTAGACATGATGTGCTGTCTCTCGCCTTCCAGTGATCGACAAAAAGAGGTTTTCCCATCACATTCACTTCCTTACAAGAACTTCTGTTTGGTTTCTGAGGACTCTCTTACTGTGTCATGTGAACTTTCTCAGGTTTGCAGATTGCAAATTGTGTTTTTTTGAAGTAATGGAGCAGGTTTTAGTAGGGTTGGGTGTGTTATTTTTTATATCATTATTTTTTTTATCAACAGTAATATTGTAAATGTTTCACTTTGTACCATCAAGCAAGCATAACCACAATTCCTAAATATCTTCAAATCATCACAGCTAATATTGATCGAGTTGCATTGTAGACAACATTGTTTGTTTTTCTGTTTTGCCAATGTTAATAGCTCAAGAACCAAAGCAGAATATTTGTACATCTCAGAGAGCAACATTGCAGTAATCATTTGAGTAAACAAAACAGTGATCCTTTCATAAACAGTCACATTATTTCTAAATGAATCAGCTGTTTGAACATATCGTGTGAATGAATCACTCCTTGAACACCACCACCAACCAGCATTCATTCATTCATTTTCTTTTAAGCTTCATCCCTTTATTAATCAGGGTTCGCCACAGTGGAATGAACCGCTAACTTATCCAGCATGTTTTATGCAGCGGATGCTCTTCCAGCCGCAACTCATCACTGGGAAACACCCCACCAGCAGTTTTAGTGCAATTTATCTGACCGACTTGAATCTGTAAACATGCAGATAAATGTTTTCATTCAAATATTGTTTAAATGCTAAGGTTGGACAAATCCCGGTTTGATGGGACAATTGTTGAACTTTTAATTACACGCTAATATGATGATAACTCTCCAAAATCACCTTACATAAAGAACTTATTCACCTTGTGTACATGCTCTACAATAAGCTGTCAACGCAACATTTATAATGTTTACTCTTCTGGTCCAAAGTGTTTACTTTCTTTCTCTGGATGATCTTAAAGCCACAGTAAGGATGTTTTTCTGACAGATATCACACATGCACACTTATAAACTCACAGGAAGCAGGTTAATGTGTTTGCATAATGGGCAAATTTGTCTAAGGGGAAGATAACTAGCAGTAAATAACCTTATTCTGATAAAGAAAAACAGGTTAAAATGTTTACTTGTTTATTGTCTGCTTAAAACATGCATGTAAATCTTCTGTTAGTCATCATTAAAGCTTTTATTGGTTTATCAGGAGAGCTGTGGTTCACCACAGACCCATCCCAAATCAAGACATTCCAAAATCACCCCTTTCCTCTCCCAAATCACTCCTGTCCGAGGACTCGATAACAAGCTGATGGATATGAAGGAGACAATGATGGTAACTTTGAGCTACATGGTGTTTGGCTCCACCGGTGGTTAATTGGGATGAGGACATTTGAATAATGATTTTGGGCTCACTCGTGTTATACTTGGCTGTGATGTTACATAATGTTTTCCCTTTTAGTTTTTTAAAGTGAAAGCTGAAAACATTTTTAGAATCGCAGTGATCTGTGTTCACAATTTTGTGGCTCTTTTGTTCTTGTGCGCAGGTTGAAAAGGTGTCAGCCATTGATCAGACCCCGAGGGCGGTGGAGAGAGACGTGCTTAAAGAAATCTTCCCCACTGAAAACCTCAACACTCCCACTGGAATCAGGTATGGAGCCCAGATCATTCAAACTTTCTGAACATTTTCTGAGAACAAGCTCAAGTCAAAGTGTCTGTTTTTAAAAATGTACTTCAAATGGGACATGAATTATACGGTTTACTTCTATTATTTTAAAATGTTAAACTTGTAACCAATTCGAATTGGCACATTTTCACTTATAAAAAAAAAAAATATGACAAGACCTGACGTTTTAGCTTGTCACAAAAACAAGCACAAAATCAAACAATTCAATGACAGAACACATCCTTGATCACTGTCAGCTCCTCTTCCATCTGATGAATTTCTCATAGCCATAGCCAGTCATAGACATAAAGGTGTATTGCATGCATTTTATGTTAAATGTAGTGCAAATGTGACAGGACTGACATAAACATGGGGACGGTTTTAAAATAGTGTTTATTTGTGGAATGTATTTAGAATTTCATGTTTGTAATCAATTGATGTGAATGATAGCAACTTAAACTTGCTATTTGTGGCACTTTTTATTCTAAATAACAAAACTATTAAAGCTATACTGTAGGTTCAATTGAGCCAAGGACAATGACAGGTTTTGTACATTTTGTAAAGTGTTTTTAATAAGACAAAAACTCTGAGAACCAAATGAATCATATATTTCTTTACAAAACAACTCGCAGAAATCAACCATCAGTCCATTTTACACATTGGGAATAAATACTTTTTATACACTGTATTTGTTTTTTTATTTCAAGGACAGATAATGCAAATTTTTGGTAGAATGTCTAATAAAATCGTCTTAAAATGACAATATTGTTTATCGCAATATTTTGGTGCAATATATCATACAACAGAATATGGATATTGTGACGGGTGTAAGTGTTCGTGTTTTTGCAGAAAAAAATTCTTGAACCTCAACAATACATTATGACATTTAGAAATGTGCTGTTCATTGCCCCTTTAAAGCAAATTTAAAACATTTGTTTTTATTAATCCACATAACTATGGACACTTGGGGAAAAAATGTATACAGTTTTAAGCATAATAATATAAAAATGATAATTCTAGAAATTTGTAATGGTGGAAACATTTAAATAAAAGTGTATATAAAGGGTGTACAGACCCTGAAAAAATGTAAACGTACAGTCCATTTTTCTTGCTTTCTTTTAAGGATTTTGGGTAATGTTCATAATGTTAAGTTTAATAAACAATGTTTTGGCTACATTTCAGACAGTTATATTGTCCTGACATTTTTTTTTTTTTTTTTTGCAACATGCTTAATGTTTTTTTTTATATATGTGTATATATATAATTTTAATTTGAAAACTACCATGGTCATCGAAATGTTCCATGGTTGTATGTGTGAAATATATATTTTTTTTATTTCTGTCAAGGTCATTTGTCACAACCCCAAATATATAAGTACATGTAGCAAAAATATTAAACTGTAAATTAAACAATTAAGTAATATGCATGTATGCAAGTATAAAACTGGAGTATTTTTTGTTATATTTGTATTGTAATTATATTTATATTTTTGTTATATTTTGTTATAAAATATATATCACCCAAATATATCACTTGTTTTTAGTAAAAAGAAATTCCATTTTGAAGGAAATTTGCCAAAAATATTGCTGTTTTCTGAGAATCAAAGTTAAAAAAAATTCTAATGTATCTTCAGCGCGACCTGCCGTCGGCCAATCAGAGGAGCAGCTGGTCGTCCCCTGATCGACACATGGCTCAACGAATCCCGTCAGCGTCTTTCTGATCTTAAACAAACCACCTCCTCCTCTTCGTTCTCCTCCACCTCGTCCTACACAGAGTCCAGATCTGTTCCCCGCGTGTCCTCCATCCCTCTGTCTGCCTCCAAGTCCACAGCGCCTCCTACAGTAAAGAGCAGATCCCGCCGCAGTCTGCCGGTGTGGGTCCAGCTGGTCCTGCTGAGCGCCGTGGCCGGATTCCTGTTCTTCATCTACCAGGCCATGGAGACTAATGACGTGGGACTGTTCAAGCAGAGCGGCACAGATGACAGTACCAGCAAATAAAAAAAATAATAATAGAAAATACTTAACCAATGCGCCCCTATGGTGATTCAGCAGCCATTGACTTTAAACTGCGAACTTTATATATTCAAGCAGTGACAGACACTCATTTTCTCTACTTTTTGCTCTTCCAAATGAACCGGTTTAGAGGAATGATTTTAAAACGGTCACTTTTCTTGCCTTTTGTATGTCGAGTGAGCGAGTGTGTTTGTTTGTTTGTTTTCGTGGATTAATTGTTGGTGCTGTCCATCAATGGGAGTCAAATTGAGTCAGAAGGATTCGAAGAAATACACTTTTTTTTTTTTTTTTTTGTGAACTACATTTAACGTCTACTTGTGAGAGTATTTTATTTCTTTTGCATTTATTTTCCATGTGTAGTTCTTCAGAAGACCATATTCATCTTAATGACCCTTGTGGTATTTATGTATCTGTTGTTTAAATACAACTATTTTCAATAAACTGTTTTGCAATGTATTATATTGTTTATTTTTGTTATAATTTTTATGGCTTAATTTTTTTTGTGTAAAACCTTTGAAATTAAGTAAACTACCAGCCTAATTTGTGAGTGTGCAACCAAAAAATGGATTTTGAAAAATCCCTTAAATATACAGTTGAAGTCAGAATTATTAAGCCCCCGGTTTAATTTTTTTCTTCTCTAATTTCTGTTAATGGAGAAAAAAATTCCCATTAAAACATATAAACCAGAAACAGAAAACATATTTCTAATCATAATAGTTTTAATAACTCATTTCTAATAACTGATTTATTTTATCTTTGCAATGATGACAGTAAGTAATATTTTACTAGATGTTTTTCAAGACACTTCTATACAGCTTAAAGTGACATTTAAAGGCTTAACTAGGTTAACTAGACAAGTTAGTCTACCTAACAAACCATCGTTATACTATATCGAGAAAAAATATATATAGCTTAAAGGGGCTAATAATTTTGGTCTTAAGTGGTTTTTAAAAAATTAAAAACTGCTTTTATTCTAGCCAAAATAAAACAAATAAGACTTTCTCCAGAAGAAAAAATATTATCAGACATACTGTGAAAATTTCCTTGCTCTGTTAAGTATCATTTAGGAAATATAAAAAAAATAATAATAAAATTCAAAGGGGAGCTAATAATTCTGACTTTAACTGTGTATACTGTAAATCATCACTACTATAATGTAAATGACTTTCAGATATGTAATCCTTCACAACAGGGTTTGATTTGTCGACATTGGTAAACTAACAAAGAACGGTGCTTCTACATTTAATCTTAGTGTTGTTTAAAGCATTTGCCAATGTAGATTTAAGATCAAAAGTTATCATTAGTTAATTCATTATGAAAATTTCTGCTAATATTTAAAGAGATAGTTCATCCAAAAATGAAAATGCATTTACTCATCCTTAATTGTTCCAAATCATTTTTTTTTTGTTGCACATACAAGATGTTTTTAAGAAGGTTGGAAACCTGTAACTATTGACATTCATAGGACAGCGTTCATACAGTCATGGAAAACCTAGAAAAGTCATGGAATTTTTGACATGGCATTTTCCAGGCCTGGAAAAGTTTTGGGAAATCAGAAAAACCAACAAAGTTTTGGAAAAGTCATAGAAAATGGATATCTGTATACTTGAATATCGGTTAGTTGTCTTTACTACTTTTCTGTTCTTGGCCAGTCAAATACTATCACATTAGTGCGGTATCTTAATCAATTTTAAATACAGTTAAAGTCAGAATTATTAGCCCCCCTGTTATTTTTTTCCCCAATTTCTGTTTAACAGAGAGAAGATTTTTTTCAACACATTTCCAAACATAATAGTTTTAATAACTCATTTCTAATAACTGATTTATTTGATCTTTGCCATGATGACAGTAAGTAATATTTGACTAGATATTTTTCAAGACACTTCTATACAGCTTAAACTTACATTTAAATGCTTAACTAGGTTAACTAGGCAGGTTAGGGGAATTGGGCAAGTTATTGTATAATGGTGGGTTTGTTCTGTAGACTATCAGAAAAAATTTGTTTAAAGAGGCTAAAAATTTCCTTCCTCTGTTAAACATCATTTGGAAAAATTAAAAAAAAGAAAAAAATTCTAAGGGGGGGGCAATAATTCTGACTTTAAATGTAGATATAATTGTAAGCTGAAACTAAATAGATTGTTTTATGATACGCTGTAATAAATTTTAACATATATTGTTTTTTACCATGCCTATGTAGACATCACATGAAACATTAGGTCATAAAAATTTACTTGGAAGTCTTGGGAAAAGTTATGGAATTTTAGTAGTAAAAATGTGTATGAACCCTGATAAGGAAAAACAAATTCTGGGGAAGTCAATAGTTACAGGCTTTCAACACTCTTCAAAATATCTTTTGTTGTAACAGAACTTAATTAAAAAGATTAAAAAATCTAACAATTAACAAGTACAAACAATTAAATGTGAATAAATTAAGGCAGAATTTTCCTTTTTTTGGGTGAACTAATAAACTAAATAATTGCTGCAAAAATCTTCTTTGTTAGGTCTTTTAATGCATTAATGCTAGCAAATAAATCCTTATTGTAACCAAAAAATATTTTTTAATCATGCTAGAGCTTATTACACGAGTAGATCTTGACAACGAGTAAAATTCCAGTTATTATGACCCTATTATAACCTTTACTCTGCTTTGGAGACATGCATTTGAGATTTTTTTTTATTTTTATTCTGAAAATGTACACATTTTACATTATAAGGTGCTGTAGGATAAAACTGGAGGTTAAGGTACTTATGAAAGAGTACAATATAATAAAGTGGTTTACTTCCTATCATGCATCTTATCTGACTGGTTCATTTTGTTTGAGTGAGTATATATGTTTCATCTAATTTACTATCACATTTCTCTTAATAAAGAGTCTATGTTCCTGTTGATGAAAATTCTGTCTTCATTTACTCATCCTCCACTTGTTCCAAAACTATATACAAACTTTCTTTAAATAACAGTTGATAAGGTATCTTTTCCAATTACTACAGTTTAATCTTTAGCTACTGTGTATTCATTAGATTTATAAAATCTATCACTACATAAATGATATGAATGTTTTAAAAGGGTTTTGTTTATTATTTATGCATACAAGACTAACAAAAAAGGCTGCTTAGTATTCAGTATATGGAAAACAACTAATATTTTTAAAAAAATCATAACCACCTGGACAATTTTGTAAACAAACTAGCATTTAAAGGGTAACAATTCTGAAATTTGATAATCATGGTAAGAGCTGATGCTGGTGAAGAAAAAATAATTCTATTCTATTTTTATGACAGTTTTGGTACATGGACATGGAGTTGTTGTTTTTTTAATGCACTAGGATAACAGAAAACTAAGCTTGCATCTTTAAAAAAAATTTAATAAATACTAATAGCATGAATCTATTACTAGTACATTCATTGATTACATATTAACTTCCCCAAATAATGAAATTGACCCCAAAATTTAGAGAAGCTTGAGTTTTTTGCTCAACCACATTTGTTTGAGCCGGCCAGTGGGCGCTTTGTCAAAATGAAATCAAAAATGCAAACTCATTTGTTTACAAAACCTTGCCATTCATTTGTCATCCATACCCTGATGCTCTTGACCACTAACATAATGACACAAGTATTGTTCAGTCATTCATTTATGTTCTTTTTGACTTAGTCCCTTTATAAATCTGGGGTTGCCACAGCAGAATGAACCGCCAACTTATGCAACATATGTTTTACGCAGCGAATGCCCTTCCAGCTGCAACACATCACTGTGAAACACCCATACACTCTTTCACACACAGTTTAGCTTACCCAATTCACCTATACTGCATGTCTTTGGGCTTCTGGGGGAAACCGGAGCACCCGGAAGAAACCCACGCGATCACTGGGAGTACATACAAACTCCACACAGAAACGCCAACTGACCCAGCCAAGGCTCAAACCAGTAACCTTCTTGCTGTGAGGCGATCGTGCTACCCACTGCGCCACCATGATGCGCCCTACAAAAGTATTATAATATAATTTTTAAAATTGTATGTCATCTTCAAATACAATTTACTCTGATTTTGTATCCCTCCAATACTTGTAAACTACCTTGATGTCAAAGTTACATCTAACAGACATCGATAGATTTTTACTATTTAAGGCTCTTTTGTAAGCTTCAGAATAAAAGCTACACAACACTATTATACAATACGGAAGAGCCAGGATCAAATTTAAAGCCACTCCAACTGTTTGAAATCTGAAAGAAGAAAGTCATACATCAAGGGTGAGTGAATTATACAATCTTTTTTGGGTTAAACCAACTTGCCCTAAATCTATGTAGTGCCTTAACAGTTAATATTACAGTTCTACACAGAGACACTGGGAAGTCTGACCTGAAGCTGATCTTGTACAGGATCTTACAGCACAAGACTCTGCTCTGCTCCAGGAATAGACCGTCTCATTGAGTTTAATCGGCTTAATCCAGCCACTGCTGTGCGTAATGAGCTCACACGCGCTCCCATGAGCTCAACCGTACACTTACTACAATTTGATTTGACATATTTCTAACAAAACCTATGGAGATGTGTTTATTTATTTTTTTATAAATCAGTGTTATTTATAAATGCCAGGATGGCCCCTAGTAGCATCGTGGTGTTATGGTACAGCTGAAGTGAACTTTCAGTGTAGTGACGTCACAGAAGGTCATGGTGATTTAGTCTGAGGTCATTTGATGTCTCAGATCCGCCTGTCGTCCATGCACCCAGTGCATTACAACCAACAAGTGAGTGAACCTTCATTATAGCATGCGTTTTTGGAGGTAGTTAACTGATGGATAAGTGATTGTAGTGTTTCTGAGGAATGTTTGCAAAGGAACTTCTAATTTGTGTGTGGTTTTAATCATCACCTGTGTGTTTTGGCAGCAAACCCTGGTAAAAATGTACCCAAACACTCTAACACAGTTGGCACGGTCGAATCCTTTCCAGGCTCCGCTTTTTTCCATTAAAACAGACCAGCAGCATGAGAAACAGCAGACAAAGCGCAAACTTGCTGCAGCATCTTATGACGGTAGGATGTTCTTTATTTTGTGAATTCAGTTCTTTGCTTTGTTTTGTCAGGGTTTGCTTTGTTCATATTTCAGCTTTTGTTTTATATATAATGTTTTATTTGTTTGTAATGATTGTATTTAATATTTTTAAATGCTTTATTTGTTATTTAGTTTGAATTATTTGACTTTTGTTGTTACTTTGTTACTTAATTTTATTGTTTGGTATTTCGTTTTGTGTATTGTTTGATTAGGTTATTTGCTTGTTGGTGGTTATTTTACGGACATTAATATTGTATGTTTTGTACAATGTTTAGAATGGTTTCTGGTGTTGTTTTAATGCCTACTGAAATAATGCTACCGTTTTTAAAATGAACTCTATTCAAATGCTTGTCATTCCATTGGTAAAGAATTAAGCTCCTCCACAAGGATTAGACGTTTGGCTAATAGACTTTACCCTATCTTCATTGCCGGCTAACTCTTAGTTGCCTTTTTCCAAGTAAAGATTGCACCTGAATGTGAAAGACTATTAAATGTTGATCCAAAAAAAGAGAAATTTGAAATAACAGGGGAGGTTCATTCCACCGTGGTGACCGCTGATGAATAAAAGGACTAAGCCGAAGGAAATGAAAAGAAATAGCATGCTGATAGATTTCGTCTTCACAGTTAAATGCAGACAAAATTATATAACAGCATCATAAATGCTTTCCAAATTGTTTGTGGACTACAGTAGTTATTCTGCAGTCATATACAGTAGTTTTGCTTGATGAATGCAACTGTTTTGGTGCTTGTCAGTCTGCTGCACTTATAAAAGACACATTAGACTATTTTTAATTAGAGTTACGGTGTAAAAAAAAAAGCCTAAAATGGTTTATAAATTTGACATTTCGACATCTGTTTTAAACTTATAATATTTGTCAAGAGAGCTAGGCTTGGTGATCTTGACCTGCATCTAATTTCACTTCATTTCTCCAAACACATTAAAATTTACTTAAATGTCACAAAACTGTCAATGTACCTTTGTTTTTAAGAGTTTGGCATACGTTTTAATTATTTTTGTCTCTGTATCACACACAGAGATACTGAAAGATATTTCAAATAAATTTTGTTGATATCTAATGTGTGTTTTCCACCCTCAGATGCTGAAGTGAGCTGTGAATATGGCTCAAATAAATATTACGCCCTCTGCGGTTTTGGTGGGATTTTGAGCTGCGGCCTCACACACACAGCAGTCGTGCCCCTCGACCTTATTAAATGCCGCATCCAGGTGTGTTTCATCTCTATTTCTCAGATGTATTGCATCACCATTTTTTCCCTCATAGTGTCTGAATTGGCTGGTTCATTGATTGAATAGCGATTCAAATAATACTCTAATTGGTCAGAAAGAGGGCCCAGTCTGCTGTGATTGGTCTGTCACTTAGTTTCAAAAACCAAGCAATCATTACCATATCTGAATTCTCTGCACTGTTAACACTGTGATACCATATTTATCAAGTCATTTCAGAGTTGCATGTAAAGTGGATTCTTAAGCAGAAAACAGTGTCATCTTAAAGGGGTAGTACACCCAGAACAGAAAATTCTGTCATAATTTACTCACCCTTCACTGTTGACAGACCTGTTTGAGTTTCTTTCTTCAGTTAAATACCAAAGAAGGTATTTTGAAGAAAACCGTTGACTTCCATGGTATTTGTTTTTCCTACTGAAGAAGTTTTTAGCTTTTTCCAGAAAATCTTGTTTGCTGTTCTACAGAATAAATAAACTCCTAATGGTTTGGAACTACATGGATGTGAATAAATAGTATTTATAGCTGTGGGTAAACTATTTCTTTAAACATACCAACTACACAAACCAAACTTTTTAAGGCCTCAGCTAAAGTTACAGTAGTGTGAGGGTTCATGCAGTTGTTCTTCATGAAAAAAGTATTGAAAACCTCGCAGGCATTATGCTAATTTGTTATAAATCTGCGCAGGTTTGTGCAGGAAGTAAAGCTGGAATTACTGACTGCTCGGTTCAGAAGCTGTTTTTACTTTTGAGAGATAGAAATTGCATTTATCCTGCATTTATTAAGACTTCACATGACATAATTCTTACTTTTTTTTACACAGAGCTACATGATTTAACTCACAATTGTCTGATGTGAAATCAAAATTGTGAAAGAATCTTGCTTGTATCTTGTAAGAAACTTTATTTTTCTGTTAGAATTGTACTGGATAACTGGAAAGAACTCAGAATTGATCACAAATAAAAGTGCTTAAGTCTTGTTTCGTGACAGCTGTGCTTTAAAATCAATTTAATATCATCTTAATTTAAAGAATTTTTGAAAGGCTGACAGTAACCAGTGTTGAATACTACATTAAGGTTAATCCTTTCTGTTTTAAATGTTTAAAAAGGAATAGCCGTTGAAAAGTAATCAAATATAGTCTTTTAACAATATTTTAAATGAGTATTACATTTCAAAAGTAACATTTCTCATCCTAACATTGTTAAATATTACGATAGTTTACCCAAAAATGGAAATTCTGTCAACTTTTACTCACCCTTCACTCATCTCAAACCTGTTTGATTTTGTTTCTTCTTCTATTGAACTCAAAAGAAGATATTCTGAAGTCCATAGTAATATTTTCAATACTCATTGGAAACAATGTCTGTCAGTTTATAACATTATTCAGAATATATTTGATGTCAAACAGAAGAAAGAATCTCATAAAGTTTGTAACTACATAATAAAGAAAATAATTACTTTTTTTTTTTTTTTTACTGTACTATCTTTTAAATGCACCTAAACACAAAATGGGGTCTTATTTTTGACTAACTCCATTACCGAACACTAGGCCCACACAGAATCTGCGCAGATTTTTAGCCCATCACTGATTGTTTATTTACTTGTGTAAATTTGTGTAAATTCATATTTATTCAGGTTTTTAATTAATTTCTGTAATATTATTGACTAATATGAAAATATTTATGATTTATTTACAATATAGTAAACATTGTACAATATTTACAATACAGTAAACATAAAATACAAGTTAAAAAGTTACTACTTTTTATTTCATATATTAAGGTTTTAGTTATGACACTCCAAAAATCATTTCGCATAAATCCGCAGATTTTACCAAAATTCTGTACAGAAATACCAAAAAATGTCTGCAGATTCCCTCTGGCCCTACCGAACACTCACAAACACACTGATCTTGTCTTCCAGGTGGACCCAGAGAAGTACAAGTCCATCTTCAATGGTTTCTCGGTCACTTTGAGAGAGGATGGTTTCAGAGGGCTGGGTAAAGGCTGGGCTCCTACATTCATCGGTTACTCCATGCAAGGGCTCTGCAAGTTTGGTTTCTATGAAATCTTTAAGGCGCTGTACAATGACATGCTCGGAGAGGTGAGCGTCGGCATCTTAATATTAAATTTAGCAGTAGATCACCCACTAACTGTTTGTGTTTGGCAAACAGGAGAATGCTTATTTGTGGAGGACATCCGTTTATCTGGCCGCCTCTGCCAGCGCTGAGTTTTTCGCTGATATTGCACTGGCTCCTATGGAAGCGTGCAAGGTGCGAATTCAGACGCAGCCCGGCTACGCCAACACCCTGAGAGAGTGCGCTCCAAAAATGCATGCCGAGGAGGGACTGAATGCGTGAGTCTCTGTCAAAATGGACACTTTATTATTATTAAAGTACTGTCATTATGTGCTCTTGTAGTTTTTAATGAAAAGAACTTCACCTCCTCTTTTGAAAATACATCTCTTCTTTGTGTACTGGTGAGAGGGCGGGACAACCTGTCAATCACATAAGACCGACCAATAGTAAGCCACAGTAATCCAGTCATTTCCAGAGGACAATATTCAAGTCATGTCCTGCATTTTTCGTATTTGAGAAGCTGTTTTAGCTGGGATGTACAGCACAAAAAGGAAGACAAAAGTAAAAGAGTGCACATTCTTAAAAGTGCTCACCACAAATTTGGGTGAGATGTGTTCAATCTTTGACTAAAATTGTTTTAAAAATGTAATGCAATGGTTGTATTTTGTCCATATTTAATCCACCATATTTAAAACTTTTATTAAAACAACCCATAATTTTTAGAAAATAACAATACAATTCCTTGTACATTTCACAAATAATTACAAATTATTATTATTTGGTACTTTTATTATTATTCACTGAATGAAATATTACATATTGAAGTAGAAAAATAGAAAGTGTTCCTGCAAAGATCTCAAGTGATTATTAAACCTTTCTTAACACATTCATTAAATTTTTTATTTTTATATAGTTTCCTATTATTTTAGTTATATAAAATGTTTTCTTTTTTTAATAATGACTGGAGTTTACCAGTGATTTAAGACTGACCAAACTGTACAATATACAGTGCTGACTGCATTACCCATTAAACCCTTTTTTAAAGACTCTCTGACTGTGTGTTTAGTGTTTGCTAATGATGTTATTGTCTGTGCAGCTTCTATAAAGGTGTTTATCCGCTGTGGCTGAGGCAGATTCCTTACACCATGATGAAGTTTGCTTGTTTCGAGCGAACGGTGGAAACTCTGTACAAGTACGTCGTACCCAAACCCCGCAGTGAGTGCTCCAAACCAGAGCAGCTGGTGGTCACGTTCGTCGCCGGTTACATTGGTAAGTTAACCGCAAACAGGCCTGAGCCTTTAGATGCGTAGATGTTTCTAACTCTGCAAGTTTGCATAGATATGGAGTCATGGTCAAAATTATTGGCACCCTTGGTAAATATGAAAAAAGAATGCTGTGAAAATTAATTGCATCTTTAATTCAGTGAAGTCACAAGAAAGCTAATCTTTTATTTAAATAAAACAATTGATTATAAATACAGTTGTAGTGAAATATATTTCAATATATTTTGGTTTGACAGGAGTATAAATATGAAACCCAATAGCCAAATTCCATTATTAATCTATCACAAATGAGTAAAGGCAAACAACACAGTTTTGATGCGCAGCAAAAGAATGTTGAACTTTACAAAATAGAGGCTTTACGAACATTAAAACATCCAGATAAAATGGAGATGTTCTTAATCTGCCCTACATGAACACTATTTACTTGATAAAAGCTTAATTTAAAAGTTTCCTACAGTTAAACAGTTGACTTAAATCACATTTTAATACGTTCACAGGGTATCCACGGGGCCTTAAAAAGTCTTAAAATGTCTTAAATTTCAAAAGCAAAAGATTTCAGGCCTTAAAAAGTTTTAAATTCACTAAAGTATTGTCTTGTAGGTCTTAAATAATTTTAAACAGGTCTCAATTTACCTATGTGCAGGTAAAGATACCTTATAGGACCGACACACGACACAACTTTTTCATATTTAGGCTTTTTATTGCAAAGAAATGCAATTTAAAACAGCTGACATGTTTAAAGGAAATTCTCCAAATTAAGTTCCATAATTAGGGAAAGAAAACTAAGGCAACACATTTCTTTATATAATCTTCCATTAGGACAAAAACTATTAACAGACGTAACTGGGCTATTAGAAAACCTAAGTCTAAAATTTTATTCATAATGGTCTTAAGAGTCAGAAAAAATTCTTCAGTTTGACTTAAAGAAACCTACATAAACCCAGCTTCAGCAAATTTCTTTTTCTGAGTGGTTCATTTTTAGTTTAGCTTAGCATAATAAATTGAATCAGATTTGAGCGTTAGCGTTTCGTTCAAAATTTTCATAAAAGAGTCCAGATTATTTCCCTAATTCCCTTGCTCGAGACTGAATGTGTGTCTGTAGTCTTCAAGGTTGTAGAGATCTTTAATCTTGCAGGACTATTTTTCTGTCTGCTTGCTTGGACATGTTGTTTAGATACACTCATATATATATATATATATATATATATATATATATATATATATATATATACATATATGTATATATATTGTCAGATAAAAGACGATATGAATAATGCACATCATATAACCTGTGTTGTGTGTGGTCTCAGCTGGGGTGTTCTGTGCGGTGGTTTCTCATCCCGCTGACTCGGTGGTGTCGGTACTGAACAAAGAGAAGGGCAGTTCAGCTGTTGAGGTGCTGAAAAGACTGGGGCCCGTAGGTAAGAGACTGCTCACACACACACACACCCATACACACTACACATAGCACACAACAGCTGTCAATGAGATACGGTTAAAAAAACAAACAGGTTCAGATCTACAGTCTGTAATCATTTTACCTTTGAAGAAATTAGTGGGTCATTTTGTTTGTTGTTGTTTGTACAAAAAATGTATGATTTTTAAAAAATGACAAAATACAAAAATTAGCATGAAGGACAATTATGAAACAAATTCATGATTTAAACACAGATTTGTCAAAACATCATTCTGTCAATGACTTCTGTACATAATAAAAATTCATGGTCAAGAAAAAGTTATTTTAGTTTTTTTTTTTTTTTTTTTACATGCATACAAATTGATTTCTTGGCAACTAGCTGAAATGATACTTATTTATGTATTATTTATATAGTTTTGTGCATTTTGTGGACTAAAGTTTATAAGAATAAAGACAAAATCCCCATTACATAGCCCACACATTTTAGTAAGTGACACACTTATAGAAGTACCTCATATTTCCCAAAGTGAAGTGTATAGGCATTAACCTCCCTTTTAAAATTGTTTTTATATTTTTTAATTGTTTGTTTATTTGAGTTTCTTTTTTTTATTTTTAATGTTAGTAGATAAAACATAACCCATAAATTACTTTAGACCTAAAAGAAATATGCAATACTCTTTATACCCAAAAGAGGCAGCTGTTGCTCTTAGAATTATTCCCATTAGACACAGCTCCATCCAAAACAGGGGTCTCAAACTCAAATTGGCAGGGGACCACATCAGTGACTGACAATTCATCAGAGAGTCGTTTTAACATTCAAGCACATGAAAAAAGTGGAAACATGATGTAATTGATACATTCAGATATTCTTCCACAGAGTATCAAAGCTCCTTATTTTTGTTTCTTGTTGTACATATTGAAGGGGTAGTTTAAACAGCTATGAAAATACTACAGTTTAATAATAGGCATATTAATAATAATTATTATTCTGTCTCAAATAATTGTTGCTTAACCGAATGTATAACAGATCGCGTAAGACAGCAGAATGCAGTTTGGGTAACTTTACTGGCAATTATTCTTCTCAATATAATTTTTTTTTTTTTTTTGTAAAACTACAACAAAGAGGGGAAAAGTATGTACATATACACGTTTACTTGAACATGTTCTTTTTTTTTTTTTACTAAACCACAAGTGTATGTGCGACTGCACAACAATGATAGTGAGTCAAAAATATAGGTTATGTTGGGCCGAATCTCGTAAAATTTTTGACGTCAGTTGCACAAATGTCCCGCAGCCGTTGGTTGGAGACCCCTGATCAAAAACATATTTTATTATAATAAAAATATAAGTATACAATTTAAACACTTCTAGACCAGTTTTAATGCTGAGAGCTGTTGGCTGGATGTTTTTACAAAAATACAGGATTTTAAATTCTGTGTCATATTATATTAAACAAAAAATCATATGCAATGTTTTCTATTCATTTATTAGATTATCTCTTATTGTGTTCTGAAGTTGCTTTCATCATGTAATATGTTTTTATCTAAATTGATATTTATCTATATTAAAGTTGCTGATGTGGCAATAAAAAAAAACATAATTCCATCGTCATCATTTCATCCTCGAGACGAAAGAATAATGATGGATTTTCACACTGTTTATCATTGAAGTATTGTCACGAGAGCAGTGATTTCAGTGAGTGTTTTGTGTTCTCAGGCGTGTGGAAGGGTCTGTTCGCGAGGATCATCATGATCGGGACGCTGACGGCCCTGCAGTGGTTCATCTACGACTCGGTGAAGGTTTACTTCCGCCTGCCGCGTCCTCCACCACCAGACATGCCCGAGTCCCTCAAGAGGAAGATGGGGCTGCTGGACTACTAGACTCCTGAGGAACTGCACAAAACTCACAGGGCTTTCCACATTCACCAGGCACACACACACACACACACTGGTGACTTTCTCTGCTGCTGTTTGTCTGTATTAGGGAAAAGCACACATCTGTCCCTTTTATGTGATTTCTGTGTGTTTCGTCTCTCCTTTGGTGAATGTTGGACTGAATATTTAAACTAAATCATATTTAGTGGCCCAAATTAGTACCTTTTCAATAACATTTCTTCAATAAACTAAAGAATAAAATCACAACGTGTATGTGTGCTAACAGGTGTTTTGTCAAAACAAGGCCAACTTATAATATTTTCCAATTATTAGGGTATTGTATGCATATATTTTAGATTTAGTTTGAAAGTAGGCTTATTTTTATGCAACAGATGCATTTATAAGGCTTTAGTTGATTTGATAGACCATAGTTCCATTGATATTGTTTAGTAAAACAATAAAAAAAAGTTTTTTAATTAGTGCGGCTTATATAAATGTGATATAAAATGTATAAATGCCATAGATGTAAAACTTAAACGCAAAAATCTGTTAATGTTGGCATTATATTGACAGAATATAAAGTATTATTATTATTAGATTTAAAAAAAAAACATTTTGCCTAAAAAAAATTAAATAAAAGGTAAATTTTTACAAATTGTAATCAGAGTAACAAAAACACATAACAATATTATTAAATTCATAAAAATAAATAAAAGCATAAATAAAATGAAATAAATGAAAGCGAAAACTAATTCAAAACAATAAAATAGACATTTTAGACAAAAAAAAAACTGCTTATGTTGTCCTAACATAACTAACTTACCTAACTTAACATGCCTAACTTAAAAAATAAGTTGAAATATTAAAAAAAAAAATCAATACATGAAGTGATTTATTCATTTTCTTTTTGGCTTCGTCCCTTATAAATCGCCACAGCGGAATGACCCACCTACTTATCCATCATGTTTTACACAGCGAATGCCTTTCCAGCTGCAATCCATCACTGGGAAACATCCATACACCCTCATTTACACACATACACACACTACAGTCAATTTAGCCTACCCAGTTCACCTATACCACATGTCTTCGGACTTGTGGGGGAAACCGGAGCACCCGGAGGAAACGAAGTGGTTTAAAATAATACAAATTACCAAAATACACCTCAAAATGTATATTGATTTCAAACTAATACATAAAAAAGAAGACTAAAGACTACAAACATAAAAACCTGTTGAGAAAAGTTGAGGTGTAAACATTGCCCCGCAAAGGAAAATAGAAAATTATTATTTATTTTTTAAATAACTCAAAACTACATTAAAATGAATGGTCATTAAAAGGAAAGTTCAAACATTTAATTTCATAGAAGCTCAGCTGACAAAAAAACAAATAAAGATGAAGCTCCTGCTCGTCACATGATTAGAATCCAGCTTTAATTAGTTTCGTTTGTGGATGTTTTCCAGCGTTCTCCAGTCACATTCAGAGACTAATAGAGTGTCATTGGGTCACAATAGCCCGTGCTCTCCTCTCCTCATCAGCTTCTCATGTGAGCAACAGGAAAATGCAGACCTCTAACCTCAATCCAGTCTGTTTTCAGCTGTAAAAACCAGGGGACGGCATGCAGAAGCGAGGTCGTTCGCTTCACATATGACCATCTTTCTGGGCTGATATGAGTTTTTGAGAGGGGAAAGACGGGCTGTTCATGCTCTATTGTTGTCATTATGTCCCATTTGCTTACGACGAAGATGATTTCTGAGAAATGAAGGCTCTGTGGTTTTGCGTCCTCTTACTTTGCTTGTATTACTTTCACCTTTCTGCGGTAAAAGCATTGAGTGTGTAATGGCTCCACATGCACCTTCACCTGCAGAGTGAGTAATGCAGGAGCGGGACATCAGGATTGTGGTAAAAGCACAGCATTACACTGCGTCTGCTGGAGAAAACCGCATTTGGTTTTATAAATCAGACAAACTGGAATGGAGGAGTAAACCCCAAAAATATGTTAAAATAGTATTAGGCTAATGGGAGATATATACAGTGCTCAGCATAATTGAGTACACCATATTTTGGAAATAAATATTTTTATCCATTTCTTAGTGAATATAGGCAAAGTATTTTGGAGCATTTAAACAAAACAGATTTATTAAACAGATATATTTATTAAAATAAGATTTTAGTCACCAAACATATTTAGAAACTGGAAGACAATGCAATTAAATACAAGCAAAACTTCGCAAAAACTAATTACAACCTACAAAATTTCAACTAAATATTTCCATTTTTTGCTTCTCTTTATTTTTCCTCTTTTTAAAAAAACTGTATTTAATATTTTTTATAACATATACATTTTGGTGTACTAATATAATATTGCATAGCTTCCTATTAAAAATATGAATTTAAAAGATAAATTTGTGAGGAGTGTACATATATATGCTGAGCACCGTATGTATGTGTATATATCAATTTTACATTTAGATGAACTCGATGCACTAAAATACAATGATGCCATTTTAATAGATGAAGAGTTTATTCATCTGAAATAATCTTCTAAAATGAACATCTGCAGTGTGCGGGTTTAGTAATTTCACCTTTATGGCAACAAATAAGTTATTTTCACTGTCTTAAATGTAAAATAACTAAAAAAAACTGGTGACTGAGGGACTAAAATGCTCATTTTTATAAGAAAATTTCAGATAGCCCTTCAGGTTTTTGCATCTGAACTCTTTAGATACAGTTTAATATAAGAAAATTATTATATACTTATAATAAGACGTTATATTGCATTTTTTTATATATAAGTGAACTTAAACTTAGTATATTTATTAATTATATAACCTGACTTTCTTTTTTTGTTTAAGTTTATTCATGGTTTATTTGTGGTTCTACGGGGTGGAAGTTTGGGAAGTATATGTTAGGATGAAAGATCTATTTAGATTATTCTGTACATTTTTGTACTTTGTGCTTAACTTAAAAAAAAAACAAAGTTCAAAAATATATTTATTTAAGTATTTAATATGTTGTTAATGTTGTTAACAAGTAAACAATGAAAGCAAATTATTTTTGTTAATTAAAATACATCTCTTATGTTAAATAGTAATAATAATAATTTTGTAATTCAAATTTAATTTATCTAAAACTTCTCATTTCATTTAGTCAAATGTGATGTACTAATATAGCTAAAGTTAAACTATATAATCATCTTCAAATAAATGTAATAAAAATGTACTTAACACACCACAAAATTACTAACAGCTGCACTCAATTTAAAATTAAAAACTAAAATCTGAAATAAAAGCTGGTTTAAAATGTTAACACAAACTACATTTGACAGTGACACTAAAATTGCCCTTATTATAAATCATGTTTTATTAAAATCTGAAAACGATGTGCTGTCATACTACATAATCTGCACTTGTCTTACATTATATTTATGAATTCTCTAAGCAGTTGTCACGTTAAAGCTGTTTTCACTCTTAAAAAAACAAGTGAAAATGTCCTGACGTGGTTGTTAGGGTCAACATTTGAAGTGGATCAAACCTTTTAATCACAGTTGTCCTAAAACAATTCAACAACACCCATTCTTTTTTGATCCACTTTAAATGTTGACTACCATAAGTGTAATCTGAAGTAATATGCAAACTGTGTAAATATAATAAATATATTGAAAAAATTATTAAAACAATTTACCTGTTGCTTAAAAAAAGCTTAATTTAATCTCATTAAATTACATTAGTATACACTTATATGATAAGTTTTACATACACTTACATGATATTCCTATATGTTCAGTCAACAGTGAAAGTGAAAACAACTAAAAAAGATTTATTTGCTTTGTTTTATTAACTGCATTCAATAAGTGTTAATAAAAATAACTTATGAGAGAAAATAAGAGAAAAGAAAACCTGTAAATTCTACTCCAGCACCACCTCCAGCTGAGAACAGTGTGGTGAAATACTGTCCTCTGTGTGTTTGTGCATGTGAGTGTGTGTTAATGTGTCTGTCTCGCTCTCCATTGTTGAAGTCCTCGTCTCATAAAGGTCGGTCTGAAATAGCATGCAGTGCTTCAGCAGGGTCATACGGGTTCATTAATGACCAGAGGAACGGCAGCTGCTGGAATATTCCATAAGAGAAGCAACATGAAGATACAGAGAAGTCAATGAAGAAAGCTGATAACATGTTTGACTTGCATATACTTTAGCTTTAGAAATCTTTACAACTTATCAGTGTTAATGCTTTGCCATCTCATATCCAGAGCTTGCTGTAGCCTGTGATTGGCCACTAGTTTGATGGGTGGAAGGTTCGTGCTCTGTGATTGGCTGATATGAGGTGAAAAATATCAATGATGGTGTTTGGATGCTAAATATGTTTATCAGCGATGGCAATAGATAAATATTGAGCTTAAAATTTCACAACTGGCTGCTGGTAACTAATTTAAGTCAAATGACAGGTCGTATTTTGTACTTTAGTGTTTGCTAAATGCCATTTTTAGACTTTAAAAAGGCTAAATGTAGAAAGACTGGCTGTTTTTTTTTTTCCTATAAATAGCATGTGAGTTATTAATGGTTGAAAATAGTTCTGTCATTTACTCACTTTCCACTTTTTCCATATTTTTTTCTTCTTATGAACCCAAAAGATTGATTTTGAGTGAAATGTAGTATTAATGCGTGCCTTTTGTAAAGCTACTTTGTAACAATAATTATTGTGAAAAACGCTATACAGATAAGCTTTAATCAAATGAAGTATTGATTTGAAGAAACCGGTAACCATTGACTTCCATTGATTTTTATGACTAAGGATGTCAGTGTTTACTGTTTTGCAACATTCTACAACAAATCCTTATGTGTGTTATCTACCAGTCATAAAATTAGCCGGTTCGTTGATTGATGCGATTAAAATAAGCTAAAAATAAATACTAAGAAAGCAGAAGAGATGGTATTTGGCCCAAAGTGTATAGGTGACCATCATCAAGTGGTTGTACATGACCATCCTATTACTCAATCAGAGACATATAAGTACTTGGGCATTCACATTGACAGTTCTTTTACATTGAAAACACACAAAGAGTGGGTTTGCTCCCATTTACACCAGAGATTGTATATTTTTTTTTACAGGTTACGTATTTTTGGAGTTAACAAGAAGCTTATGATGTTGTTTTATAAAGCTGTTCTTGAAAGCATTGTCAGGTATATCACATTGTGATTTGGAAACCTCTACAGTGTAAATCTAAGCTGATGCATCTCTTTAAGACAGGATGGAAGTTGTTGGGCACAATGAATATTTTAATCCTCAAGTTTAAAATGAGGATTGTGTCCTTTATCACGTGGAAAGGATTCTGAATGATCCAACTCATTTTTTGTTTTTACGTTGAACTGCTTCCCTCTGGTACACTCTCAGAAATAAAGGTTCGAGAGCTGTCACTAGGGTGTTACCTTTTCAAAAGGTACATATTTGTACTTAAAGGGTACATATTGGCACCTCAAAAGTATATATTAGTACCTAAAAATGTTATTGTTTGTTTTTATGGAATGTTTGAGCCATATGGTGAAGCCCATAACACATTTCCTGTCAAGGACAATAAAGTGTACTACTGCTAGCCTACTACTGATATCTTCTTTTGGGTTCAACCATGTGAAATCGCTAGAGGATGAGTAAATAGTAAATATTAATTCATTTTTTCATTGTGTGGAAAGCAAAAGACGAACATTCTGTTTGTGTATGGTGTTTGGAACGGCACGATGGTGAATAATTAGAGTTAAAAATCTTATAGTCTCATTTAAACTTGTTTTAGTGGCTTCACAGCAAATCTGGAGGGGCACAGATGCTTATGTAATACAAACAGACTATTACACAACCTTTACAGTGTCCCTTAATCCCTCCCGACACAAACACAGCTCCTCTTCCTCACTCTGGCTCTTTTCCCTGCTTATTCCTCCAGTTATCATATATATTACATCTTCACTGTTTGATGTATGTAGACAAACATTCTTGCTCTATAATCTTTTAGGCAAATAATGAGAGGATATTAATGCTGTTCAGATGTCTCGGACAATGAATAATCTTATTGGACGAGCCTATGGGAGGAACAGAGGCCTCATTGGTCCACATTTTTAGGATTTAAGGAAGTATTGTTTGTTAGGGAAAAGGCAGACTGTTGCTGAGGTGCCAATGCATAAACATCTATCTATCTATCAATCTATCTATCTATCTATCTATCTATCTATCTATCTATCTATCTATCTATCTGTCTATCTATCTATCTGTCTATCTATCTATCTGTCTGTGTCTGTCTGTCTATCCATCTATCTATCCGTCTATCTGTCTGTCTGTCTGTCTAATTAAATGTCTACATTTTATACAGCAAAATGTGAGGAACATTTGCTTGTGTTTGTTTGCATATTTTCTAGGTTTTCATAATGTAATGCCTGAGTTCATATGTATTCCAGCTACTGGATGTGTTTACTAGGCACAAAACCTTTGAAGGTGGTTGCGTAACACATACACAAACCAGTTCCACTTCCAACAACTCCATTGGGCAAAAACAACAACCCAAATAAAATAGATAGCTTTAGCCTATAGGTTTATGTTTGTCTGTGCATAGTGTTGATTGAGATACAACAGCTTGGCATGTATTATATCCCATCATTAGCAAAATATTGCGTTATTATGATTACGCATCTTAATAAGTAGCAAGGTCAATATATAGGAAGTCTTTTCATGATGACAATGAAATCCTTGACAGCCCTCAAGGGAAAAGTGGGCAGGGGGCTGTTCCAGAAAGCAGGTTATGTGACATACCCAGGTAAGTTTGAGAGTAAGTAGGTGGATAACCTCAACTTTGGTTCCAAAATCGGAGGTAACTTCTGGGTATGTTAAGTAGCCATAGCAACTTACTCTCTGAAGATAACCTGCTCCGGAGCAGGTTATGTTCAGAGAGTAAGTTGCAATGTTTCAGAGTTTGTCTGTTTCAGAGAGTTTACTGAGCATTGCGTGCTCTTTTGATGAGAATATTTATGGATGTGGACACACAGATACAAGTTTTTTCGTTGTGAGAGGGTTATAAGTGCATATTTTTTTCATAACAAAATTCATAATGTTAATGTATTTAACAAACCTTTTTGAAATCAAATGTGACAAACCGCGGGTCTGCGCTTACCATAAAAAACATTCAGTGCAGCTCTTTGTATTCGCGTCAGGGCATTTTAGGCAACTGTACAATGTGGCAGTATGACCACCTGTACAGTATGCCTGACACTGAACTGTTTTTTACACTTTTGTACAGTTCCTTGGTCATACATTACTGCGTATCATTACACAGATGACTCAGAGCACGGGAATAGCGTAGTGGACAGTGCGTTGATGAAGTACAATGGAGCGCACAACGGAGCAAGTTCGAAACTCACATACAGATCTTGTTTTTTTTTCTCTCCTTCTGCACCCTCACATTTTTCTGTATAATATTATAAGTGGCAGCTTTGTCTTTTGTAGGAAAATATATCTTTAATTTAAGATGTAGGAAGTCGTTCTTATATATACATTCACGCACACACACCTACATTTTTTAATATAATATTTTTTTCAGGGATTCTAAATGCTATTGTGTGCATTAATTGCAGCCGATTTTAAAGCTCCATCAGTCACTAAAGGAAACTGATGATATAAAATTTGTCCAAAGTATAAGTGTGCAGGTACAACTTAATTTTCTATCCTTAATCTTTTGGTGTTTCAACTATTAAACTCATAACTGCTTCCACTTACCAGCTTATCACACACTCCACCTCATCACTATGTTAAGGCTAAATGGCTGATTTTCAGGAAGTAATGATTCAAGTGTATAACACAAATATAGTAAAAAAAAAAAAAAAAACTATAAAGCAAATGTTGCTTAACACAATGTTTATTTTTATTATATTTGTATTATAAAATAGAATCATTACTGGGCACTACATTGTTACTTGCTGGAGGACAAAAGATACCCTTTTCTGCCTTATACGATGACACCCTACCTGCAGCCTGACCCAGAGTAAATCTCAGTGACCCAAGCAGACAAAACAGATTGAAGAGTGCTAAAAAATATATAATTAGTCAAAAAACTATGTTTAATCAAATAGTTTGGTCTGTTCATTTCTTCATTTCCTGAAATAAAATGAATGATTTTGTACACTGCTTTACACACGCACCTTTAAACATGTAACATATTTTTCATATACATTTCTCACCTTAAGTTGATGCTCATGTGACTTTATCTTTAAAGATGGACCTTATACAGCTACTTTAGAATTTAAATATGTAGATAAAAGATTTTGTGATCCAAGAGTAAAATTAAAATATGGAAAAATGCAGAAAATTCTGACACTGCTTGTTAGTTGAGGCAGAAGGAACTTCGTCTGCATGCAAAATAAAAAGAACTTAAAGCTATCTGACAACAATCACTTACAACAGTGACAGAGTGTGTGGTTTAAGTCAAAAACTCAACCACTGAAAAGCCTTTATTGTAGGACACAGCAGTTAGACAGGCCTCTTTCTATTAGCTGCATGTCAGAAAGAATATTCTGGAGTGTTAAATAAAGAGCTCCAGTAATTAAATATTACCTTTTATGATAATGTTTCTGTGTTTAATGACTTTGGACAGAGTTCTAGCTCCAGAAAGATTACAATTTCTATAAGCCTTATTAGTCAATACACATATTGTGGCCTTACAAAATTAATGGCAAGAAAAATAAATGCATGAATGGTTACACAACATACTCAAAAAGGATGTTAAAGAGTAGTTATATTTATCATTACAATAAAATGGAGGGTGGCATGTGTAATTTAATGAACTAGGCCTAAATTTTCCTATTATTTATTTTTTATTTTCTTATCTATTTCTTATTCTATATTTCTTTCCTTCGTTGAAGCAGATGAGTAATCTGTGTGTTTAAAACCTCCAGCTTCGCCTCTGTAAAGTGCGTTGCCCGTTTTTTCTCACCGTGACTTTCTATGGTGACTCGTGAATTCGGCGATCTACTGAAAATGCCTTCAGGTGTGTGGCGTGCACGCGCATTAACCCGCGGTTATCTTCAGAAGGTTGATTTAACTAACTCTTGTCACCTGTTTTGGAACCAACATACTCGCGGTAAGCAGGTTTTGGGTAAATCAACCGAGAGTTTAGGTTTTAGCAGATGGTAAGTTAACCCAGCTTTCTGGAATACCCCCCAGGTCTGTCGTTCTCAAATTCCTCATATCAGTAAGGGCATCGCATGTAGTTGTAGCAGTGGATCGTACGCAGTTTGCGTAGCGGCGCACGCTCAAATTCTGCTCGTCCACGCGTCACGCGACCACGCGCTCACTCTCACCGGTGCTCGGCGGCTCTCACTGCCCTTCCTGCAGCTAAGGACTTTCATTTAACATTCCTGCAACAAATGTATGTATATATTTGAATGGCTCTTTTATTGCTTTGCAGCTAAGTTAAATAAATATTCTTGATCTGCGTGTTTAACACGCAGCGCCGTCACGCTGCGATGCAAAACAAGTGTGGTTGACATTGAAGAGGAGAGCGCAAATCTGCGGTTTAATGATGTTTGCAACACTTCCGTGCGAGACATCCTGGATTTTAAAAACTACTGTTGTATTTAAACTGAAGTATTTATGAGCCAAAATATTCGATGAACGCCGTTTGTGTTTGGTGAACGCGTGATCATGGAGGAGTCGATTGTAAGCTGAACGTCAGTTTGGCCTTGTTTAGGATGATCTGATGTGGATGAAGGCCAAATTACGAATGTATGATTAACTCGAGACGCTTAAAATAAAACTAGATCGGTTATCATCATCATCATTAACTTACTTTACAATTTACCTGATTGTTTTTGGACGCGGTTGCTGCATCCCTATCGTCAAGGACGTCAAAAGGACGCTTGCGTCATAATAGGGTTTATGCATGCTGAAAGAAGTTTAAATATTTCCCTATTTATAGAGCTAGACTAATGCTAATTTATTGTGCACAGCTCTAACAAGCTTTCTATTAGTTCAGTCTGTCATTTAAAACAGTATATTCACCGTTTTGTCATTATGCTAGCATTTTATATCGAATTTAAATAGTTTAAACATTTAATAAGATGTGGATTTGATAATGAAATGGTTTAAATTTCTATTCAAACCATAAACTTACGTTCTAATATTTGTGCAATCTGTCCAGTCTAATTCAACATTAGATAACGACGTTATATATTGATATTTCAGATCAGTGTTTACATCTAATATTTCTAAGCTGTTTTAATTCATGTAAACTTCTATGGTAGTATTTTCACTATCTAGTTATCTGTAGTGGCTTTCAAAATATAAATGTATTTTTAAATAATTAAATGCATAATCTTATTTAAAATACATTATTTATTATTAATTTACAGATTTATTATTAATTTAGGTTTGGTCTAACCAAATAAGAGTTTACAATGCTTGATTTCATGAATGTGGTTGAGCAGTCTAGCCTCGAGTCCTGTTTAGGCTTTATGTAGTGTTTTTCACACCAATATCAGATAATAAAATGATAGACTCTCCATTAACTAAGTTAATTACGTTAGGTAGCAGATAAGGTTCACAGATAACGCCACATTACTGTGTGCTATACTGCCCAGGGAGCAGACCTTTTATGAGGACAATATCTAACATTTTCTAGATCATATCTAACGTCCAACGTAATCCACACCAGTCCACTGAGGATTAGTGTCACAGCGCAGCACTTTGTATGTGCAGCTCATAAGCCTTATCTGGGTTTGTCTAGTCGACTGTAATAAACTCAAATGATAAGAAATCTGACAAATATAAATGTTATTTTTACCTGCCATCTATAATTGTATTTATACTTTAGTTTGTTACTATTAAATGGTGTTTTTGCCTTTTGTGTTTCTCATTGACTAGAATGGATTTATGTTGCCTAATTTGTGCAGTGTGTTGAAACACTTGATCAGTTTGTCTAGATTAAGCAAGCGAGGGGCAGAGTCATGTGACTCCTGAAGCTAATTTCATTATCAAACGGACCTCTGTTGGAACCCAGGATGTGGATAGTTTTCCCATTATGGAGTAATGGTTTACACAGTGCAGATAACCTTATTACCTTGACCCAGCTTTGATGTTTGACCGTAACCACTTTAACCCACTTAAAGGGATAGTTCACCTAAAAATGAAATTTCTATCATAATTTGTTTACCTCTTCTTGTTTTATACCAGTTTGAGTTTCTTCTTGGGTTGAACAAACAAGAATAATGTGTTGGAAATTAGTTTGACAGCCACAGTATTTAGTTTTGTTTTTTTTTCTTTTGTTTTTTAATGGACGTCAGTTGCTTCTGGTTACTGATAATCTTCATCAACAGAAACATCATCTTGTGTTCAACACACACACAAAACAACTCAACCACTTGAGGGTGAATTCATTTAATTTTATGTGAACTATCATTTTAAAGTTTCCATCGCAGCCTTTTTCTTTTATTTATGGTTTATGGGTGGTATACTAAAGTCAAAGTTCACTTTATTGTAAATTCTAATTATAGAGAATTGAAAGTTATTTTCAGACCCTGTGTGCGTACAAATGAAACGCACTCTACAATATAAAATGTACAAATACTTTTAGTAAATCTAAGAGAGAGGTTACAAATAATTACGGTGTACAAATGAGGGCCGATGGAGTGAACGGAGTGCACATATTAATATTTCTCATTGTGAGCATGCTCTGTCCTATTCTTCCAGCGGGATCATGGCCTCAGTAATGCAGAAGCTGATCACTCCTCTGGCCAGCGGCCCTGCTGAGCCCCCCAGGAACAAGGTTACTATTGTTGGCGTGGGGCAGGTGGGCATGGCCTGTGCCGTCAGCGTACTGCTTCGGGTAAGAGACACTCAGTTATCCTGTTTATGCTTTAACTACGAGTTTTGATTGTATTTGTGCTTTAAAAATATTGGGTGTGTGAGAGACTGACATAATTAACACTCTTTTTGTGTTAACAATTTAAACACCACTTTGCTGAAGTTGTTTTTGTGCTGCAACATTAGCATGTTTGAGCCTGTTGTGCATCAATAAAATCACTAGTATTTGGCAGCAGGTCTTTGTCTTGAATGATTCACTGAATCATTCATACTACATATTCATTTAGAAATCAAACAAGGCACTGTTAGTTTACCAAGTTTGTCTAAACCTTACTAATTCAGGAACAAAACCCTGCTTGGTGGCTCTGAGACATGCACATGTCCTGCATTAGGTCTAAAATGCGACTCCACTCTTTTGAATAATACTGAAACTGAGTATCATTTGAAGTAATAGTTTTAAACTGGTTTTTTTTTTCCTCAATGTTGTAGGAACTTGCAGATGAACTGGCTCTGGTTGATGTTGTGGAGGACCGACTGAAGGGAGAGATGCTGGATCTGCAGCATGGCAGCCTTTTCCTCAAGACGCCCAAGATTGTGGCTGACAAGGGTGGGATGCACTTCCTTTTGATTGGATTGACTATTAAAAATGCTGACTTTTTATAGATAACCTTTTATTTTATTATTTATTTTGTACTTTTTTATATTATGATACATGGGTTTTAGATGATAGAAGCAACTTGTATTCAAAATAGAAGCAACTTTCAAACCAAGCAATTTATATAAACACTTTGGTATGGTTCACACAAAAATGAACTTTTAAAATGGGATTATTATTATTACCCTTTAGGCCCCTATTATTGTTCCCTTTTTGTATGTTTTTTTAATTTTCCCCCATGACCATTACAACCACCCTGTATGTTCAATTTCTTGCATAGGCTTATTTTGTTTAAGACCTCAGTGTATTTATCAGGATCCACTAGCAGCAATGGTGCAACTTGCATTTTCTGAATTACCAAGGACCTCAGTTTAAGCAAAAAAAAAATCACAGAATTCACAAGTAAATTAGCAGCAGATGCTCATTTTGGCATGAACGATTCTTTTTTTTTTTTTTTTTTTTTTTTTAGCCCATTTTGAAATCTGTATATTGAAATATTTTGCCTTCATCAAACAGTTCTATAATTCCTAGTCATGTGGGTTTTGAGTGGCTGTGATTTGATGTTTATTTTTTTTGGGTTGATAGACTACTCTGTGACCGCTAACTCTCGTATTGTGGTGGTGACGGCTGGAGTGCGTCAGCAGGAGGGTGAGAGCAGACTGAACCTGGTGCAGAGGAACGTCAACATTTTCAAGCACATCATCCCTCAGATTGTCAAATACAGTCCTGACTGCATTCTCGTCGTGGTGTCCAATCCAGGTGACCAAAGCACTTCAACCTTCGTCAACAAATTAGTTTATTCTAATAATTGATTCCTCAAATACCCTGGTGACATTCAATATAGTAGAATTGTGTTGTAATTCTAACATAACATTTGTGTTTATAAAAAATAAATAACATTTAAATGTAAATTATCTTATTTTTTATAAAATTTGCTTTTATAATCATTATTGTTTTATTATTATTATTATTTTGACACGTTCAGTGGACGTTCTGACCTATGTGACCTGGAAGTTGAGTGGCCTGCCAAAGCACCGTGTCATTGGCAGTGGGACCAACCTGGACTCCGCCCGCTTCCGCTACATCATGGCAGAGAAGCTGGGCATCCACGCCAGCAGCTTCAATGGATACATTCTGGGAGAACACGGAGACACCAGCGGTGAGTCAAGAGGAGGAAAATTAACCAGAGAGAGGGGCTGAAGAGCTGCTAAAAAGAATATTAACATGGACACACAATGTTAATCCGACTCTAATTTAGTTAGTCATCTATATTTATGTTTTTGTTCTTGCAATTCAATTTTTTTTTGTTTGTTTAATAGTTCCCGTATGGAGTGGTGCAAATGTGGCTGGTGTCAGCCTGCAGAAACTCAATCCTGACATCGGCACAGATAAAGATGCTGAAAACTGGAAGGAAGCTCACAAGATGGTTGTGGACAGGTAAGAAACATTCTGTAGTGTGTATGTGCTCCTAACCTGCAGTTGGGATTATACATTTCATAAATGGTTTCATTGAAAGCAGTGCTTTTGAGCAGGTGAATAGCTATAGTTTTCCTATAATTCAATTTAATTTTATGTACAGTTGAAGACATTTATTAGCCCTCCTGTGAAATTAATTCTTAATGCTGTTTTTACTCCTATTTTTCTTCTTGAGGAAATGTTTTTTTTTCCCCTTTTGGGCTGGAATTTAAAAAACAATAATTAAAAACCAGTCGACATTAGTTCCCTTTAATTTTTCTATTTGCTACAGAACAAACTGTTGACCAATGACTATCCTAGCTAAGACCTGAAATTTATGCTGAACGCTAGTATTTTGCTAAATAAGTAGTAAAATGTAATGCACTGTCTTCAAGGCAAAGACAAAAAAAAAAAAAGTATTTGTTATACAGCACCTGGCAAACGTTCCTACTCAAAATGGTTCAATCTGTCAAACTCCAAAATAATATAATGCAATGATTCTCTAAACTATTTTGAAGTTTCAAAAATGTTGTTTAGTTTAAACGGAATATGACTGTGAATAATGATAGCAATTACAAACTTCTCTTAGTGCCTATGAAGTGATCAAGCTGAAGGGATACACCAACTGGGCCATCGGCCTCAGTGTGGCTGACCTGACAGAGACCCTGGTGAAGAACCTGAACAGAGTCCACCCCGTGTCCACTATGGTGAAGGTAAGCTGAATTTACCACGCTTCCATATCCTCGCACCTCACTGAATCGATAACCTCCTCTTCAATCTGACCACCAAGTTACTCCAAAATGTCAGCATTGCTCTAGCAATCTAACTATCACACATACTTTTTCAATGCCCTGTTTTGAATGTTATCAGATAATGATTTTTATCTGGGGAAACATTAAAATGAGTTGTTTTTAAATGTGAATCCATCAAAATTAAATCTTGACAACTCTCAAATTGTCCAGTACCTCCTTTTGAACATAAAAGCAACGCCTTGCTTCTAAGTTAATGACTAATGGCAAAGAGAATGGGATCCACACGCTAGAAACAAACTCTGTGAAATTAGCTCTAATGTTGGTTAAAAGAACCTGTTCAATTTGTCACTTCAGGATAAGTTTTTAATACTTCAAGATCCTCCCCAATGCTACATTTGTAATGACACTAAATAATGACAATCAATAATGTTCTAATAGATTGTGTTGGCTTTAATTCTGAGCGATTTTCATTTAATATTTTGTTGGTTTTGTATTTATTTTAATTATTTTTAATAGGCACCAATAATCCAAATGGTGTTGGAGTTTTTAGACAAAATAAATTGTAAAATGTTAATATAATTTATATATTTTATAATAGTGGTATACCTTATCTCCGCATGAAAATAGCCATAAAAGCTGGCATGGTGTCAAACAAGCATAAGTAAATTAACAGTTTTTATTTTCTCATTTAATGTATTTTACAATTGTTTGTCTTACTGTAATAACCTTTTTTATTATAGAGAAGTGTTTGTTTTTTGCAAGGGAATATCCAAAAATGATTCAACTCCATTGCTGACCTTCTTGTCTGTTTGTTCTACAGGGCATGTATGGCATCAACGAGGAGGTTTACCTGAGTTTGCCCTGTGTGCTGAACAGCAGCGGTGTGGGCAGCGTCATTAACATGACCCTGACCGATGGAGAAATCGGCCAGCTGAAGAGCAGCGCAGACACTCTCTGGGGCATCCAGAAAGACCTGAAAGACCTGTAGATCAGTCATGGGCACCCACTTTTCCTTTCCATAACTCCATTCACACTCCTTCACTATCTTTGCACACACTCTGAAATCGGCTCTGTCATTTCTTCTCACTTGCTTTTGGATATGTTTGCTTTGAAGTGTTTTTTTTCCAGTGGTGTTTTAAAGTAGGCATTGTAATCAAAAATGTGGAATGTTCCTTCTTGTAAAGCGAATGATCAAAGGGAGCATCTTTGAACTTGTGTGGGCAATGAAGAAAGAAGCAACACCTCTCTTATGTCTGGACATAATTTAGCAAGATCATTAGGGGACGTTCTTGTGTCTTTGTGTTTAAGTCAAGAGGAGAAGAAACTGAAGTGTGGTCCATACAAATGTATTCATTCTTCTGAATCGTGCTGTAAGTGTTGGTCATGTTGATGAGGGTGTGTGTAAGATGAAATTTAATAAACTAATGAACCAGTTCAAATCTCTTCAGTTTTGATTTTTTTTTCTTTCTTTTTTCCCGGGTAGTGACAATTTGAACCATGTGGTAAAAGCCTTTAATTAAATTAGGCTTAAATGTAAAATGAATGCTTTATTTTGAACAATAGTTGGACTAGTTAGTTGACTCACTATATGTTATGGCCAGAAAAATTATATTACATCCGGTTAGAATAAAGTTTCAACCTTAGTATTTATTGTAATTACACTCATGTATAGATGGATAAATTATACAGTAATTTTATTTATATATATATATATATATATATATATATATATATATATATATATATATATATATATATATTATTATTATTATTTTTTTTTTTTTGCAGTAATTCAACATTGCAAATTAAATGCAAATTGTTCTGTTTAATTAAAATAAAAATCACAATTTCTTAAACTGGTGAAATGCTCATTCCTGAACTAATTTTGTTAGTCAAATGTTTAAAACCGCTTGACTAGCATACACGTTACTATTAAAATAAGTGTGTGAATAATGGAAAACTTGATTGTGGAGTGGGGGGCAATTGCAAGTTAACTTAAATGTAAAATGTAAATTATTTCTAAACATTTCAGATATTCCTTTCTTTTTCTTAACGAAGTATTGCCATGTACATAACACTTTTTTCATTGGTTTATTCTTGATGTTGATTTCTTTCGTTTTTGCATTAAAACATTGGCATTGTGTTGTCAAAAAAGAAAAATAAGTCAAATATAAACGTCTGAAAACATGGTACTTTTTTATTAATGACAATATAGTTATAGATTTATTCTATGAATTACATGTCTTCCAATTTTTAAAATATAAACTTTGTAATTTTGTGTATTTTGTCCCGTTTAACAAACCCACAAACTTTCAACAATAAGTTAATAAAGCCATCAAACAATATAAAACGTTTATTGCACAAATAGGCTACAATAACTCAATAAAACAAAGTGCGCTTTCTAATTCCATAAAAGCATAATAACCGGCAAAGTGTGCCTGAATCGTAATTACCCCAAGTTTTCAACCAAGAAAATCGCATCCTTCTGACGAAAACTTGAATTTCACGACGTTTCTAATTGCTTTCTCAGGTAAAGCATCATTGGCAGCAGGTGCTTGTGTTTGAGTCTGTCAGAGTCGCTGGTTGTCGCTTCGTTTCTCTTTCCGAATCGCAGCCCAAACGGATTGTAGTTGAATTTACTGCGTGCTAGTCGATGTTTGCAGGATATTTGACTCGTTTCGTCTTTTTCCTGGATGAAAAAGCAAAGACTTGCGTCGTCAGAAGCGCTGGGCTCCTCAAACTGCCTTCGCTCCATTGACAGAAAACGCGGTTTGGGGTCTATAAAGTAAGATAATCCTCTCATTTAACGAGTTTTATTAAAAAATTATTTTAATTACAAAGCATCACCTTACCTGGCATAGGCTCTGGTGTGTCCATGTCAGTGAGTATTGCTCTCATAGCTGTAGACTGACTGACCATTGCAGACATGAAGAGAATCAGCGCCCTGGTATTCATATTGCTGAATTGTAGAGCTTATATGAAGCACAACTGAGCTCTCTTCAGTGAACAAAACCCATTCTCTGCTGTCCTCCTTCAATATAAAGCAGGCTTGGTGACATCCACTGACCTTATTTTACATGGATGACTGTCCGTGGCGAATAGGACCTCCCTGTATGCCTCATTCAGAGCATTTAACTGGTAAAATGTTACATTTTGTTCTTGGAAATCCTGCAGTAAATTGTACACTGCAATTATTCAAATAGGTTTTGCTGCAGAACCCACCAAAAGCACATTATGTTTGTTTTTTCATACACATCACACATTAATTTCAGCTTTCTCTCATTCTGTGACAGAGAAAAACATGATATGAAAGTAAAATCAGGGGCTTGCTGCCCGACAACATGAATTAAGTCAGCCGTAATGGTGTACAATCATGGTAATTTTTTCAGCAGTTGTTTGTAGGGAAATGCAGTAAACCTTCAGTGTCATCTTGCCTTCAGCATGGTAATAAGATCATGACTGGACATCATAAGTAAAATGTTCCTGGCGGACGAGACAGCACTGCAGCATCAGCGTACATGGTGCGAGCACAAATTATGTAAAAGTGAAATGTTTTTGGATGATGACAGTGGAGGACTGATATAAACCTTTTATACTCTTAGCCTCCAACCTTCTAAATGTACATTTATCAAAATTATCCAAAAAAAATGATTGATAATGAGTTTTAAGTAATAATGACTTATGTCTTAATGTTTATAGATTAAACGCTATAAATTATTTTTAGTGCACATTTCTTCTTTGATATGTCCAATGGTGGAAAGATTACTGAAAAATCATACTTAAGTAAAAGTTTCATTAATTGCCAAAAAAAAATGTTGTGCAATTAGAGTAAAAGTATCTTGTAAATATTACTCAAAGTATGAGTAAAAAGTAGCCCTTTCAAAAGTACTTAAGAGTAGTGAGTATTATGCTGTAAACAGCTGATGAGTTTACTTGTAGTTTGTGGATGTGTGTAAACGTAACATTCTGTACTGCATTTATTTAATGCCCAGCAGGCACACATTGTCATAAGTTGTTAATATTAGGTTAGATTTAGGTTGTGATGTCGGGTGACCAAAATTCAACGTTATTTTGATGTCTAATTATGATGCCAAATGACGTTGACATTTTAGGTTGTGTTAGAAAGTGACCAAAATCCAACATCTTAAACCAACGTCATATTGATGTCAGATATTGACATTTATTCGGTATGGCAATCAAAATCCAATGTCTGATAGACGTCATAGTGGTAACGTCCACACAACACCGAGATGTAACATCATTAGACGTTGATATTTGGTTGACTTTTAGGTTGGACATGGATGTATTGGCTTGACACTGGGTTCTGGCATCAACCTGATTTTTAATTTCTAAACAAAATGCAATGTCCACACGTCATTGGGGTACAACATCAATCTGAGGTCATCTTGAAGTCTTGTGCCTGCTGGATGTTTAAGTCCTTTTTGGTCTTCATACAGTAAACCTTCATCATCTTTTAATCAGTGACATGCATATAAACAGTCTCTGGGTCAATGCCTGTAATGATTTTGAACATCGTGGATACTTTTAATTCTTCCAAACAGTTTGCAGCAATTATAAATTGCAAGTGTCTTAAGGTTGTTTATTATGATGTGATTTACTTTCTATGTCTGATTTGATTGGACAGGAATCAGTCAGGACTGATTTTTCTAATCCCCATTGACAGGAAAAAATAAAGTAGTGACTGCAGGTTGAAGGAAAGTAGTGGAGTAAAAGTAGCGATACTGCACTAAAATGTGCTCAAGAGACAGGAAAAGTACACATTTTTAAAACTACCTAGTAAATTACAATTCCTGATAAAAAGTATTTGTAATTGAGTATTGAGTATTTGTAATTTGTTGCTTTACACCACTGAAAATCAGGGGCGCAACTGCACATTTACTGATGGGTATGCGGCTTCAACTTTTGCGCGCCCCCCTTCAATCCAACTATATTTTATAACAGGCAAGTGATAAAATGTGGAAAATATTTCCATCAATAAATTAAAGATATTTTTTCATAAAGATATCAATATGCTTAAAAAAATACAGTTTCGCAGTTCTGAACACAACTGAAATAGTATGAAGTAGTAAAAGGTATAATTACATTTAACATGTTAAGTCGCAAAGAAATGCATCTCATACCACCCCAAATTTCTTCTCAATTTAATTTTCCCTCACTAAATGATTATATACCTTGACACCTTGACTAGCCTTGCTTTTGGACTTTTTGTACTACATTTGTCAAAACAAAATGATAGACATGGGAGTCCTAAAGGGCAAAAGAACATTGCAATTTCTTCTCACATGCATACTGTGAGAAGTGTAAGGTCTGTCTTTGCAAGAACAATTGACTGAAACAACTAAAAGTTAAATAAAAAAGACTGTCAAATGTTTAGTGTAAAAAAAAAAAAAACAGAAACAAACAAATGTTCTATTTAATTGAAATGTTATAACTTTGTTTGTAGCTAAAATTAAAATAGTTTTGACCTAAGAAGTTACCAAAAGGCCTGATGAATTAATATGATACATAATAAATTCATAAAAACATGTATATGGTATGAAAAATTATTTTTTAATTTAATAAAATACAATATTATACGCATATAAAATGCTAAATAAACATTTTTAACAAATATATATATATATATATAAAAAGCTGTGTTCTTTTAACCCAATTTCAATTCAAACATGGACAAACAAATGGGTTAAATTTTCAATTAAATTTGTTGTCTGTCTTTCTGTCATCAACTCTATTTTGGAATTTCAATTTTCTCAGATTTACCTACCTTGTGCTTTCTTCGCAATATAATGGTTTTACATTAATTGATCTCCTTTATTTCTACATAGACCCTAGACTTTTCAGTAGGAAGTGCATTTTATCCATAAAATTACATAACAAATGTTGTCGTTCAGCAGCTAAACGTTAAACAGTCAAAGACGTGCGTCATAACTCCTGTGTTTACTTTTTACCCTTCATCTTTGATATTTTTACAGAAGATCGGATGATGGATGCATAATGTCCACGCATTCCAAACACATTGAAATATCCCATTTGTGACCCAGAATCATAATGAATGTATCAAAAGAGAAATGAACAGTAATGGCTATACTGTATGTGCGTGTGCACGTGCCCTCCCGGTCAGAGGGGTTTGTGCAAAGAGGCCAAAAACCTCACCTTGATATCTGTGGACTTCAGACTGCCAATCACTGTGCACATGCTTTTTTTTGCCTTTTTTTTTTACTTCGCTAAAGGTTAGAGGAAAAAACAACTCTCAGTGTCTCCAGGACCTCCAGGCGCTATAGTAGAAACACAAAATTGAGTATTTTTAGGGTCTGTTTAGATGGTTTAAGGTTTCTTTAATTATAAATCCACCCAATAATTTGCAATTCCAGTTGAAGGATAAAACCGCTTCTTAAGAGTTTGTGCGATGCGACTATCCAGATCTTTGTCAATAACATCATTAAGTGGACTTCCACTGTTTGAAGAGGAAAGTCTACCTGTTGAAGATCTCCTGCTCTTTGAGGTTGCGTGGGAAGTCACCAATAAAGGTAAGAATTTATAATACTGTTGGTAGGCTTTCAGTGAGCACTTTTTTATTTTGCAGTTTCATTTTGATTGTGCATAATTTCCAGTAATATAATTTTGCTTAAGAAAAAAAAGTTTGGTAGCATTTAAAGAGGTGGTTCACCCAAAAATATAAATTCAGTCACTATTTTTACTCTACCTCCACTTGTCACAAACATTTTTTAATTTCTTTCTTTTCAAAGAAGCTCAGACTCCAAAAGGCTTGGAACCACTTGAGGTTTTAGGTGAACTATCCCTTTAAGATTGGCAAAATTTTGAAAGAAAGCCTGTTCAAAGCAAAGCTGCATTTATTTAACAAATAAAGTGTATTGTAAAATATTTTTCAGATTTAAAATCATTTTCTACATGAATATATTTTGAATATAATTTATTTCTGTGATTTAAAGTTTTCTGTGTGATTACTTCAGTTTTTAATGTCACGTTAACTTCAGAAATATGTTTGATATATTTATTTGTTGATATATTATGATAAATAATTAATGGTGGTCAGTAATTAGTTATATGTCTTAATATTTTCTTTCATTTTGCCTCTTAATCAAGTATTCTTTGTGCAGAATGTTCTTTTATTTGAAATAAAATTTTGCACCAGTATAAATATCTTAACTGTTACTTGATTAATTAGTTCTTGATCAATAAAAAATGGCATGACTCTTTAATTGGTAGATAAGAAAATCATCATAAATATGTAGCAGCAGTTATTTTCAACATTGATAAAAATAGTAAGAAATGGCATATGATTTCTGAAGGATCATATCACTGAAGACTGTAATGATGCTGAACATTCAATTGAATAAAGTGTGTCTTAATATACATAAATTCACATAGAATAATTTTACTTACAAATGTTTTTCACTCTTTGTTTTTTATTGTAGTTTCATATAATTATAAAAGCAGCCTAGCTGAGCAGACATCTTTCAACAAAAACAAATCTGTTTGCTAAATGTTGCTGTATGAAATCTGTATTTGCTTTAAGACAAAATTGCTAGATAGAGTAGGCTTTACCAACCTAAATTAATAAGCCATTTTGTACTATTAATGTTAATTTTACTTCCACGAAATAATTTGTAGATGTCCTATAAAAGTACCATGTAATTTAATCTGTTAATGACATTTTAAGAGGGGGAATAAACAAGCAGACATTTTTTCTGACAAGTGCGTCCAAAACAATCCATTAGAATTATAATTATGTTATTGACACCTTAAAATTAGTAATTCATCTGTCGTTTTTATTTGCTTAGCCATTTACCAAGCATGCTTTTTAAATTTATTGCATAATCTTAGCAAGAAAGTAGTTGCATGTTTTTTCCCTTGAAAATGCTTTTGACCTCAAGACTGTTCACCTTAGTCAGAAGGCCTGAAAATAGTTCAACGACAGAGCTGCTTTTTTTCAGTAA